TTTTTTGTTTTTGATGTTGTATTTTTGCTTAACTTTTACCTTTTATTTATTTAGAATTTTTAGTATATGTTTACAATATATAACAATTATATTTGACTTGGTCAGTCAGTACATGTACATATCAAATCCACATCTTAATCATCCTTACTTCCTTTTCTCTCTCCATCCTCCTAATTCCCTCCATCTCCAGATCTTCTTCCCATCATGGCAAAGTCATCCCTCCCTGTTTTCTATCATCTATCTTTTATTTTGTTCCTAAATTATTTCATATATTGGGTTTTGCATACAGTAGAAACCAAATGGTATTTGGCTTTCTGTGTCTGATTTGTTTTACTTAGGACTGTGACCTCAACATGTGTCCATTTTTCTATAAAGGACTCAAATCTATCCTCCTTTATGGCTGAGTAATACTCCATTGTGTACATATACCACATTTTCTTTATCCATTCATCTATTGGTTGGCTTATAGGCTACTTCCTAGATTTAGTTATTATGAGTTGTGCTATTGTAAACATGGATATGCATATATCACCGTAATGTCTGTTATAATGGTTGATACATTGTGTCAACTTGAGAAGTTTAGAAGCTTAACCAAGTGACTCAGCAGGGGGCCAATGTCCTCACTTTGTAGACATCCTGAGCTTGTGGAAAGGAGGGCATGGAGATGGTGTGGGTGGATAACCAGCATACAAAATAAGGGAGGAAAAGAGACTTGTTCCCCCGCTCCCTTTTGGCTCTTGCTGCTCTTACTATCTTCTGCCACCTTGAGCTGTTGCCCCTCATCATGCCACTTTGCCTTGGAGCCAGCTGATTATGGACTGAAATCTCCACACACTGTGAGATAACTAAAACTGTCCTTCCTTAATTTAGGGTGTTGAGTATTTTGTCTCAGCAATGAAAGAAAAGTAACTTTTAGAATTTGGTACCAGAAAAGTGGGGTTGTTGCTGTGACCATATCTGACCATGTGGTACAAGAGCCTTTGGGAATGGCTTATGGGAAGTGTTTGGAAAGATTTGGAGATGTCACCTGAAAAACTAGAATTTCAATGCCTTCAGCTATTCTACATGGGAGATTCTGGTCAGAGCTCAGAAGACCAGAAGGCTGATAGAAATCCTGCTGGTAAAGACCAGGTTCAGAAGGTTTCTGCTGAGAAGGACTGCATTGGCTGTGTCTTATGGCTTGGCAGAAAGTTTGTCTGGATTTTGCTTCTGTTTAGAGACTTGCCTGAGACTGAGATTAAAGGTAGTGGACTAATGAATCTGGCAGAAGAAATCTCAAGGCAGTCGAATGTTGAGGCAGTGCTATGGCTATTGGGGAATTTTAGAAACACCTATGTTGAGAATCAAGAGCAAAGAGCCCAGCAGGATGATTTAAAATGTGAATTTGGCCAGAAAGGAAGCTCCAGTAAAGCTGTGGACTACAAAGATAGAGTTAAGGAGGTCTCCACTGTTGAGAAGAAACAGGAGGATATAAAAGGTGACCTGAGGGCATCACAAGAAGCAGCAAGTCTCCACCCTTTGCAGCCTCAAAACTGCAAAAGGGAAAGACTTTGTTTTGAGGAAAAGGCCACAAAGCACCATGTTCCAGAACAGCAGCAGCCACACTATGTTCCAGAATGGTGGCAGCATAGAAAATTTGTTGCTCAGAATTGGACTCAGAGTGCCCCACAATCCAGGCACTTAACTCCTACAGCCAAGAGAGAGGAAATCCTGGCTTCTGCTCCATCTGACAGCAGACATTGGCATCACCCATGTAATGGTGGTTTTAGGTTCATGCAGAATGCAAGAGTTATGGGTTGAAAAGGTTACCACCTTGATTTCAGAAGGCCTGGGAGGCCAGGCAGTGTGCCCCTGAAAGGGCAGTGTGTAAAGCTGTGAGTGTGACACCAAAGGTGTGGTAAAGACCCCAGAAGTTTGGAAAAGACAGGAATGTGGATCATCTAAGGAAAGCTGCAAGGGGGGAGCAAAGCTTGCCCAAGAGAGAAGCCATGGGAGCTGTAACAACCAGAAGTGCCATAGGGGTGGCCCCAATTCTTTTGGAGCTCACAATTTGCCACAAATTGCTTCAGATGCTTGGCATGGAACTACAGGACTTAATGTTTGCCTTGCTGGATTTTGGACTTGCTTTGGTCCCAACCCTTTGTATTCCCCTGTTTGTAACTTTTAAAGTGAAAATATTTGTTTTGTGCGTTAAATCTTGGAAATGTTCAACTTTTCATTTACAGAGGTTTGCAACTAAGAGTTTGCCTTACATCTCAAAGGAGACTTGGGACTTGAACTTTTCAGCAAAGCTGAAACTTCAGACTTTGTCAACACTTGCAGATGGACTAAATGACTTTTGCATAAAGGAATGTGCACTAGTCTTTGGGGTTCTAATGTAATATAATATTGATAGGCTTAATACTGGATCTTGAGGATTGTTAAACCTGTGTTATAATGTCCAAGTTGTGAAATGATAAGAATAAGCATATCTTTGTATCTGGAGATCAGTTTAAAGAAACATGTCTTATTGCCAAGTTTGACAGTGGGTGGATTATAATACATTGTGTCAATTTGAGAAATTTATAAGCTTAACTAAGTGACTCAGCAAGGAACCAGGGTCCTCATTTTGTAAACATCCTGAGCTTCTGGAAAATGAGGGCAGGGAGATGGTGTGGGTGGATAATGAGCTACAGTATAAGGGAGGAAAAGAGGCTTGTTCCCCGAACCCCTTTGGCTCTTGTGTTTTTGCTGTCTCCTGCCACCTTGAACAACCTGTTGCCCCTCACCATGCCAGCCTTGCCTTGGAGCCAACTGATGACAGACTGAAACCTCCACAAACTGAGCTAAATAAACCTTTCTTTCCTTAATTTAAGGTGTCAGGTATTTTGTCTCAGCTATGAGAGAAGTGTAACCAAGACATTTGTCTTTAACTCTTTCAGGAAGATACATGGGAGAGATGTAACTGGGTCAGATAGAATCTCTTTTATTAGTTTTCTGAGGAATATGTATTTTCAATTTTCTGACTCTCCACAATGGTTTCCATAGTGGTTGTTCTAGTTCACATTCCCACCAACAATATAGAAGGATTATTTTTCCCTATAACCTTGCCAGCATTTATTATGCTTTGGGTCTTGATGATAGCCATTCTTGCTGGAGTAAGATGAAATCTTTATATTTTAATAGTTACAAAAATTTTCATTTTTAAAAGTTATTATAATTTAATAGACACTATATCAAAAGCATCTTTTTACTGACTTTTTGGCCTACTTTTATGTATTGGTATGTTTGTTTTTAAAATCATAATTAGAGGATTGCATGTTTTAGTGGGTGTTTTTTTGTAACTCAAAAGTGCCTCCTAAAATTTTGCCCTATTTTGATTTGTAATGATTAATATTTTAAAATTTCTTTCCCTTAGGCCATTGTTATCCTTATAAAATTTGAATACTTAGGTTATTTAATTTTTTTTAAAAAAAGCATTTAGAGTTATGATTTTTTTCTTTGAGGATGGATTTGAGTTTATAGCACATATTTGGAAAGCTTATGTTTTTGGTTTTCTGAAAACTAAGGCATGTTAAAAATTAAGAATGTCTAACTTCTTAGTTCTAACAAATGCTTATTTTTACATTTTATTGAACTATGAAAATCTGGACCTTTTTGAAGCTACTAGAGCTGCTGTAGGCTCCAGTCTCAGGGTTCTGGCTTTGTTATGAGGACATGAGGTTATGAAGAGGTACTGGATTTGAAAGTAGTCCAATGGCAAGGTGACCACACATTCTGATTTGTTTGGATAACCAACCACAATTTATAGCAGCTACTCTACATATTTACCCCCTTCCCTGTCAAAATATCCTGGTAAGATTTACAGTCACTCTATCTAAAGGTGGCCTGAGGCCCAAAGCCCTAACAGCACATGCCCAGACACGCCTCACAGTGTCACAAATATGTCATTGCTCTTTGAAGCTACTGTCCTGAATTCCTTCTTTTTCTGGCACTTTTAAAGTCCTCTTTCTGCTTGAGTTTTGACTTTGTATTTGCATATACTCACCTTCTAATCAAGGCAATGATTTGATATTCCTAGAGCAATGCCCTGTTCTTCCCATGAACTTGACTCAGCCCCCTCATAGTTCATCATTTTGCTTTGGATCTGCTCAGAATACCTGACCCCATCTGGCAACCCTGGGTTCTCTTCTGTCCCTCCTAAGGGAGAGTGGAGCAGGAATTTAGACAGCAGCAGAAGAGTCAGGACTTATGATCGAGTCTTCTGAGGCATCTTTGGTACAATGATAATGACCATCAATTGTTCTTTTAATACAAAAAGGAAGTATTCAAACAAAATAAAATGCATTTCAAAGGAATCACTTGCTTTTACCCTTCTGTTCTCTGCCCACCCCCTTTCTACATTCCTTTTGTGACTATTTTTGGTATGTTTGTAAAGATGGAGGTCTGACTGATAAAATCTAAGAGCTCTAATTTGAAAAGCTTATAGGCCCAACCATGTCCTCTGAAATCTCTATAATGTTATTTCACTGAATAATTGTTTTTAGAGTTTGCTACTGTAATTTGGATCTAAAATGTCTCCCAAAGGCAAGCTGAGGGGCTTTGGACAGTGACAGGATCATGGCGGCACTAACTTCGTCAGTGAATTAACCCACTAATGAGGTCACAGCTGAGTGGGCTGATAGGAGGCTGATCAGGTGGACTATGCAACCGTGGGGACCACATCTGGTTCTCAGCTCCTTCCTCTCTGGTGCTTGTTTCCTCTCTATTTCCTGGATGCCGTGAGGTGAGCAGCTTTCTTCTGCTGTGCCCTTCTGCCATGGTGTTGTGCTTTACCACAGGCCCAGAAACAATGGAGTCTGCCAAACATGGTTGGAATCATGAGGCATATGCTCTTTTCCTCACTTTAAACTGTCAGCCTCAGGTATTTTGTCACAGCAAGGAAATCTCACTAACACATCTGTTGATGTTTAAAATATGACTGACCACTTAGGAAACTGGAAATGACCGTGGCTTCTTACCCGGAGGGACCCTCTCTCGCAGTACTCTATCACTCCGAAGATCCTGGTATCAAGCTTCACTGTGCCGTAGAACTTGGTCAGGTTGTAATAGTCACTTTGAAGCAGCTAGGAGAATGTGTGAGTGTAAATAAACAAGTCGGTCAGAAAAGGGTATCAAAGTAAAAATTAATATGCCAATAAAACATGTTCTGTTTGAGATCTTTGGGAAGATATATTGTACTAAGTAAACTGAATGTCAATACCCATTTCTTACTGTACTATGTCGTATTCAACACCTTTCCCTTTGTCAGCAAAGCACTTAGGTGCAAACACTAACTACTGCCAAATGACGTGAGAGCCATACACTGAAACACACTTGCAGATTTTCAAAATGTTTTACATCATCAAACCTCATTCCAATATCTTGGGGTAGAATCTGCCATAGGAAGCAATTTCTTAGTCTGAGGGCTTCTCTATCAACATTCATAACAACTAACCTTCCTCCACTGAAAAGGTCAGTGTTTAGGGAAAATGAATTGAAGCTAGTTCTCAAAAGTTAGAAGGAAGAGACACATACCTTGTTCAATTCTATCTTCTGTTTCTCACTGAAATTGCCATCACTGTGCTTGAGATCTTTGAGAATCACTCGCTGCAAAGATCAATTGAATTAAGGAGCTGTTGTTGCAGTCATTACTTATATGCCTATTAGAATGGTGTTCTTGTGTTTCCATTAGATTGTAAGCTTTCTGGAGCAGTGACAGTATTTTGTTGATGTTTATATCTCCAGTGCCTAGCACCTAGGATATGGTAGGCCTGGTTTTGAATGTTTCTTGTAGAATAACCAGGGGAAATATAAAGAAGAAAGGAAAGAGGGAAGAAAGGAAAGAAGGAAGGAGAAAGAAAGGAAGGAACAAAACCCCCGTATCAGGTTCTCAAGAAGGACTCAAAATATAATACTAGGGTCACCCTGAGTGCTCTCAATCTCTTTCATATGTCTTTTCCTTCCTATATTCCACCCCTACAAAATATTCAGCTTGTCCTTCCATTTCCCTGGAATTATGAGTTTTGCAGAAACTCCTTGAATTAGAGACCTGACCAAACCTATAAAACCTGGAGAACTGCCCCTGGGGGCAAGTTGGGCACCACCACCATTGTGCTGCCAATCTCAGGGGCTGGAGCAATGACCAGTCAGTCAGGAGGCCCAGAATGCACCCAGCTGAAAGTCCAGAGAAAAGGGAAAACTATAATCACCTTTTTGTCGTATTTGCACTGTCGCAGCCTTTGGATTGTATCTCGTCTCTTGTCATCATCAATCTGGCACAAGAAAACACTAGTTATTCCAGAGCTTCGTCACTGTCCTATCCACTGGCAGCCAAAGGCTGAGAGACTCTTCCAGAGGGGCTGTGTCTGCTGTCTGCTCCCTGGCATGCTGGGCAGCTCCCAGAAGCACTTGCAATTGACTTGTTCTTTTCCTTCCGGCTACTCACTTCTCACCCCAATAGCATCCTCTTTCCTGGTCTCCATCACTCCTAGGCTTATTCTGGGGTTCCCTGCCTTCCTCTCCTGGCCCTACTTCATCTAGGGGTTGTCTTTGCTTCCCTGTCGCCCTACTTCCCTCCTACAGAGCATCCTTGCCTACAGCTACAGACAGATGCCTTCCGAGATGGGTGCTGGAGAAAGATGATATGCATTTGAGTTGCAAATTCACGCCTAAAAGCTCAAATAGCAATGCAAATGAGACAGCAATGTCTAGGGTTATAGGTGCCAGCAGCTCTGGGTTCAGCCTGGAGTTGCCAGATCATCTCATTTGTCAAAATTAAGTGGTAATGTGGAGTTTCATATGCTACTTCAATATAGTTACATGTTGGTAATCTTTTTTTAAAGCTGTTAAATATTGAACACACACACACACGCGCGCGCACACACACACACACACACACACACACATCTTCACCAGCCAGTTAATGACTCCTGATCTAAAGACAGAGTAAAGGTGGGGAACTAGTGTATCTTTCAATATGATTCTCATTAAAATTTGTGTTAAAATTTACAAGCCCATCTTAAAATGTGACTAAAATAAATTCTATCAAATTCCAAGTAGAATGCCTGCCTGGCACAATGTACATTAATACATGTTAACATCAGCTAAGCCCTAAATGAGATAGATGCAAACATAAATTCCTTAAATGGATAAAATTCTTAAGTTACCATTTAAAGAAAGCCTCCAGAATCCACTGAAGGATGGTTTGGAACTGGCTTTTCAAAAGTGGTCTTGTATGGGCCAGGAGACACAGACTCTCAGGCCTGTTATCCACTACAGTGCAGACATCTTTCTTTCTGCATCCTTTCTTGTTAACATTGTAGGGGAGATCCCCTGTTATCACAAGGACCAGGTGTGCTGTAACAGGAGGGGGCTCCATGTGTCTCCAAGTGCTAATTTAGCTGCTCATCCAGAGCTTACACTAAGAGGAACCCCCTAATGCATGAGGCAGAAGCCTCACAAATGCCACACTCAGACCCAGTGGAACGCTGCAGTGCCTGGCCCACCCCAGTGGTGCCGTGAAAGCCTGTCCCATACGTTTGTTAACGGGCCAGTCTTATCTTCTTCATCAGACCAGTGTCCCCTTCAGCTGTTCTGCTCCTTAAGATGAAGCCCCTTTCCCATTTTCTTCTTAACTGAAGTGTTTTGTCTATTAATTAATGCTGTTGCCTCAATTTTAATTTCCTTTGTCACTGTGTCCTGTATCAATCCAATAGACAGGAGCACTCACTCCAGAAAATCTCCTTGCCTTTTCCTAGTGTTGAACTAGAGAAGAAGCCGGTGTGGAAGCACACACTGGTAGTCCCAGCACTCTGGGAGGCTGAGTCAGGAGGACTGCAAATTTGAGTGCAGCTTGGACAAGTTAGTGACTTAGCAAGACCCTGTCTGTAAATGAAAAGTAAGAAAGGGTTGGGGATGTAGTTCATTGTGAAGGCCCTTGGTTCAATCCCTACTTCACCTACCCAAAAACTGCCAACAAAAAACCCCCACATATTATTTTGGTTTAGATATAACGTGTCCCTGCAGGTTCTCATGGGTGTGGATTTGATTGGATCATGCGAGCACTAGTCTCCTCCATGGGTCCATTCACTGGTGAGTTCAGTAGCTAAATGTGCTGTAAAGAGGTGGGCCCTTGGAAGTGGGTCATGACCTGGAAGTATATCCTTACCCCTGCCTCTTTCCTTCTCTCTCTGCTTCCTGGCTGCCATGATTTGAGAACCTTTTCCTCTGCTGTGCTCCTTGAGCATACTGTTCCTGCCTTGGAGCCAACTGGCTCTGGACTGAAACCGTGAACCAAGCTAAATCTGGACTGAAACCGTGAACCAAGCTAAATCTCTCCCCCTTTTAATTGTGAGTGTTTTGTACTCTTTCTTCTCCAGGAAAATGACTGGGATATGCATCACACATGTACACACACACACACACACATACAGAATTTACATTAATGTACACATATGAGCAAGTAGCTGGGTTTCAGCCAATTACAGGCATCCAACTGATTAAACCATGCTCAGATAAGGCAAACTTTTCTTTTAACACTACGTATTTCCAATTAATTACTTAGGCCAGCAAATTTTCTCTTTAAATATGAAATAGTCTGTGGTCTATTACTGCAAGTTACTGCAAGATCAATTACACCCTGACACTCGCTGGAAAGAGATTGGTCTCTGTGAACAGAATGTTTAAGGTGAGGCTCAGGATGCAGCAGGAGAGTCACTTTGGAGCGTGGAACACTTCTGGAGAAAGGAAGAGCTAGTCCACGTACAGCTGCGAAGGGATCTGAGCCATGAGAGGGTAACATGAGGAATAAAGAAGTGACTGATCGTGAGGGCCTTAACTTCCTCGGTGGATTGATCCACTGAGGAGAGCACACTGAGGGCATTACTGGCAGGAGATGGAGACAGGAGGAGGTGTGACTGGGGTTGATAGGCTCCAAAGATAAACCAGGCCCTTGCTGATTCAGGGTAGGGTGGGGGGCATCTCAAAGCATACTACCCGATCTGCTTAGCCCTTTGCTTAGAATCCCCATGTTCCCTCTCATGGAGGTGGAAGGGTCCAGCTCTTCCGAATATGCTTTGGTATAAAAACCCTGACAACTATATGATGTATGGGAGGCGTTGGGGTCTTAGGCTTCACAGTTAGACCCAGTTGAAATTGTAGCTAAATTTCTGGAATTCCAGCCTTGTTATCCCAAGGCCTCAGGGCAAGATGAAGTGAGTTGATATACATGATGCTTAATAAGTGCTCAGTAAGTGTCTTGGTTACTTTTCTCTGGCTGCTGAGACAAAATACCTGACACCCAAAATTAAGGAAGGAAAGGTTTATTTAGCTCACAGTTTGTGGAGGTTTCAGTCCATACTTGGCTGGCTCCAAGGCAGAGCGGCACATGGCAGAGGGCAAACCTTCATGGCAGTGAAACACAGTAAAGCAACAAGTGCAAAGGAAGGAATGGTAAGAAGGGCAAGCCTCTTTCCTTTGCATATGCAAACTATCCGCCCCAGGGCAGGTGTAGCACTCACACCCAATCAATCAAAACTCTAAAAGCATGCCCCATGACTGCATGTGACTCTGGGGGGAAACCCAGACACAAACCATAACAGTAAGTGTTAGCTATTACCATTCGTAGTGATCTGACTGCAACCCTGCACTGTTTCTTTGTCCTTTAGTTTCCTCATCAGATATGATAATAAAGCTCCACTTATTATAGTCCTTCCTTGTGAGGAGCAGATGAGTCAGTGAGGTCCAGTATTGACTACAGTAAATAGAGGCGATTTATAATATTGGTTACTGATTTTATTTCCCAGATGAGGGAGGGTTATGGTTTAAATACAAATGGTTCCCCCAAAGACTGGGGTCAAGAGCTTGATCCTCAATATAGCAATGTTCAGAGGTGAGGACTAAAGAAGTGACTGATCGTGAGGGCCTTAACTTCCTCAGTGGATTGATCCACTGAGGAGAGCACACTGAGGGCATTACTGGCAGGAGATGGAGACAGGAGGAGATGTCTAGTTGAAGGAAGTGGGTCATTGGGGCGTGGCCTTGGAGACTACAACTGGTTCCCACTTCCTTCCTCTCTGATTTTATCCCTTTCTCTCTGTTTCATGGTTGCCATGGGGTGAACTTCATCACATCCTTCTGCCTCACCACAGATGTAAAGCAATGGAGCTCCATGGACTGGACCCTCTGAGACTGAGCCACATAAACATTTTCTCCCTTAAATTGTTTTTGTCAAGTGTTTTGTCACAGCAAAGGAAAGCTGACTAGCGCAGGGAAAATGTGGAGGCTTCTTTCTTCAGGAGTAAGCAACATTAAGAGATAGCTCTTTAGTTTGAGTAGATTAATATTTAAGGTTTAGGGAACTTCACAGGTTCTAACCATTCCTACATCCTTTCCTGGACAAATTCCCAGTAAGTGCCTTTCTCTGCTAGGTCAGATGTAAAGAAGGGTATCACACCATATTTCAGCCTCCCCTGAAGTGTTAATTGGATAACTGGCTGGCATTTAGGACAATCAAGAGACAGACAAGAAGCTGATAAGCAGTAAACATCTTAGTCTTGGATTCTAAAGAAGCTCAGCATATTTCCTACCATGCTGCCAAAGTCTTGTCAAATACATGGAGAATTATGTCATCAATTATGTCATTACCAGTCATCAACAGGTAAGGGTGGCCTTACCTTCAGGCTAACGTGGTTAGTCTCGTTGGTCTCCAGAGGAAAGATATTTTCAGGAGGAATGTGGGACCATTTTTTCTGACGAAGTTCATTGTCTTTTTTATATTTTCTGTGAAAGGAATAGAACCAGTCCATAGGCTGAATGCCGAGAGAAATTTTGGAGCCCGGTACCCTCGGGTAGATGTGTGGTGAGGAAGGCTAGCTCGGGAGTGTGGTTCACACTGATAAGTGCTGGCCACTACTAGGCCATAAGGATTCCTGACAGGCTTTTTTCTTTTTTCTTTTCATGTCACTTTTCTAGGTCCTCCACTCAGTCTTTCACTAAAATAAAGGATCTGAACTGATGCCATGAAAGGAGTAAGGAAAATATAGAGGAAAAATATTGAATGGATAACCTTGAGAGGCAAAAAAATTGTTAATTTTTAAAGCACCAATGAATGCACCAGATTCCTATGCATCTGTGCTTTTAAAAAATGTTTAGAGAAAATGCAAAAGTACAGATAACAAGTAATATTTATCCCAGTGTACAAAATGCTCCAGTTTTTAAAATCCTTTCCTTTAGATGATACAGATAAAGGATTCTTGGATTCTAGGGGAGACACACTGTGAAGTTCAAAGATACCAAATTGCTTCCCAAAGGGATGGTAGCATTTGTCTTGAGAAGTGCTGTTTCCCACATTCTTGAAAACATTTGCTACCACTAAATATTTTTTAACTTTTCTGATGTGTGTGAAATGTTTCCTATTGCTGGCAACTTATAGAATAATAGAGAATTATTTACAATTTTGCTCATTTTCTTCTGCTTTTCTTTCTTTCTATTTTTTTTTTTTTTTTCTTTTTTGGTGTTTTGAGACACGATCTTGCCATGTAGTTCAGGCTGGCCTTGAGCCCACCATGCAGCCCACACTGGCCTTGAACTCCTGCCTTTGCCTCTTGAGTGCTGGGATTTCAGGCATGTGCCAACGTGCCCGCTCATTTTTCTTTTATTTATTCTTAAAGTTTTACATGAGTTCTTTCTATATACTGAAAAACAAATCATTTGTCCTTTTGTATTGCAAATACCTTCTAAATTTTTGCCTCTTTTAACTTTGCTGTATGGAAATTTTTGATTTTATTATGACCATAATTCTTTGTGTCTTCTATGACTTTTTTTATCTTGACTAAGGAGTACTTTTTAAACTTGCCATAGTAGAGCTCTTTCCTATTAATTTCTTCAAAATTTTGAGGTTTGATTTTCACCTGTAGTTCTTTAACATGTAAAACTCTACATGGAATGGACTATATTTTTGTATATTGTTTAGGGTAGAGTTTTAATTTTATTTTTTACATGTAGAAAGGCTACTGTACCAGCATCCTTTCCTAACTGACTTATAATGTCATCTCTGTCATGCTCCAAATTCCTACACTTGCTTGAGTCTGGTTCTGGAATCAATATTCTTTTCCATTGCATTATTTGTCTCTCCTGGAGTTTGCTTCTGCTTTTTAGTCACTTGGTAAACTCCAGCTTACCTTCTCTAGGTCACTCATAATGTCTTTCTTAATATTCCCTGACCAGAAATGATTACTCCTAACTCAGAGAGTTCCTCTGTTAACTGCATGCAAAGAAGCACATGACTGACCAGTTATGACCCAACGATCTGCAGGCAAGGAGGATGATATAAGGCCACTGAAAGCTGCCATCTTTGTGCCCAGGAGACTCTTGGGACTCAACATAGCCAACTGTCATTCACATTGAATTAGAGGACCCACTGTTCCTTGCATGGCTTGTTATACTGTAAAATTACACGAATGACATCTATGTGCCAGGTCTCCCTGTGGAGACTCCAGCCGTTGGAAAGCCCTATCTCTGCTTCTCATGCTTAGACACAATGGGAAATACCTGTCGTTTCTGTCTTGTGATTTGCTCCTGTCTTAAGATGACGTCCATGTGGACTTGGTTTCCAAGTCAAATTTTGGGTTCTGCTTACTCTTGTCTAAATGGTCACATGTAGCTCCTAGCTTATCTTTTTGTGCATGTGTGTGGTATTAGGGATTGAACCCGGGGCCTTGCACTGAGCTACATTTCCATCTCTTTTAAAAAAATATTTTTACTTTGAGATGAGGTCTCACTAAGTCATTAAGTTGCCTGGGCTGAGTTGAAACTTGTGATCTTCCTGCCTCAGCTTCCCAGGCATGCACCGCCACGCCTGGCTGTATTCTGTATTTAACATACACAGGTTGGGAGGTGGTGTCATATTCAACAAATATGTCCTAGTAGACACTTTCTGGTCAAGTTAATATGGAAAGCCCGAGTCAAATAGAAAAATCATGGAGCTGATGGTCAGAAAGCCCGAGTTCTGGTCCTATTTACCACCTGGAGGGATGATTTTGAATTCCTCTCTCCCTGTGCTGAGACACATTTGCAATAGGTGATTTCCAAAGCTTCTGTTGATCTAAATATTAAGTAGTACAATGACTTCTAAATCTTATACAGTATACCCGTAAGACAATGAAAATAACTATTTTCATTTATATAGTGCTTATTACATGTCATCTATACATGTCCCATTTCTAATCCTCATGGCAGCTCAGAGGAAGAAACTGAAGCTAATAACCTGTTTATGTTGCTAAGCAACATGCTCAGGACCACACAACTGGTAGTTACACAACTGGGATCTGAGCTGCAGTCTATGACTCCAAAGCTCTAATTGACCCACGCAGTAATACCCCGCCCCAATCTAGTTTTTGATTCAGAATGCCTTCAGGATCTTGAGTCCGTCTAGAGGAGTCTTTGTGAGCATGTGTGAGTGACAGAAGTCAGACCTCCCCCTTGCCCTCCCCCCTTCTCTGAAGGAGGCGCCCAGGTGGGAAGGAGCAGAGGTACCTCAAAACCAGGAGGGCGATGAGTAAGAGCAGCACCAGCACCCCCGCCAGCGTGAAGACAGCAATCATCAGGATTTGAGGGCCTGTGGCAGGAAAGGGTGGGTACCACGTTAGCAGGATCTTTGAGGGGAGGGCAAAGGGGCTGCAAAAATTTTAGTTGTATATATAATCTGTGGAAGGGGAAAAGAGACCCCTCTTGAAAAATATTTATCTTTTATTTATGCTCATGGGGAATAGTTGTCCCAAGTCCCCAGACTCTGAAGAAAGTTGTCTGGCATTCGCCTGAGGAAAGTGGTTTAATTTCAGTTCTCCTTGTCACCTATGGGTCTGTTATTTCTAACAGGAACCACCAAATATTGCAGGAACAGAAAGTGGTTTCCAGCGCACAAATGATTTTGGTGGCGGAAGCCTACCTGGTGTCATTGGAACCAGTGTACCTAAGAGACTCCACAGAGGAGGAAGGAGACAACTACTTTAAAATACAAAACACACACGGGAAGCACCATAAGTCAGTGCAGAAGTTAGATGACGGTGCTGCATGTCGGCTCTGCCCAAGTTCTCTAGGCTACTGGGCGTAGTCAACGACTGTAATCTCATTAGAACACTGGCTGAGTAGTTGGGGTAAGAAGAGAAACTCTCAGAGAAGAGGCAGTGGAAACCAGGAAAATATGGATGTTAGTGAACTTTTGTCAGCCCCGACTGGGAGAGGATCTGTGATGTGCCGGTATCTCAGCTCTTGAATCTTCCCTGAGAAGATCGGACAGGAGGGCTACAGAGTGGGACTCGGAAAGCAGTTGTTCTTAGGGAGCTCTTTTGTGGATGACAGCACAGTACACTATACAGAAAGTTAACTATTATTAATCAGGGAAGTATGCTCGGGAGAGATCCAGGCAGGCAGAGCCAGAGGTGTTAACAGCTAGTAATGAAAACATACGCTCAAGGGGCGGGGGTGGGGCAGATAGCACCTCGAGAGGGCAATTGTTTGAGGCTGAAGTTTGATTTTTCTTTGGTTTTCCTAGAGCTTGAAGAGTGGTCAGGCTTCTTCTAATCAGTGCTGTGTCTCTATCCTCCATGGGCAAGGGTAGGATTTGAACTTATTGATCTTCACCGGAACAGGTATGGTGGCCAAAGCCCATGGGGAGGAACTGGAATGTGAATGCATGCAAATGAGCCCCATGGGGCAACAGAGACAACATAAGTCTGCGTGGAGTTGGGGCCCCCCGAAGTGTGACTGTGTGAGCCCTACAGTGGTGAGACTGGGTAAGAGGGGAACTTGAAGGGGTCTTCATGTACTTTTCTCAGGAAATTTGGGGACCTTAAACTAAGGAGATTACACCGCTGTCTTGTTCTCTTTGCAGAATTCCTTCCTTGGGCACAGCTGCCAGCATCCCACCTCCAGCTCATCCCCAGCTAACTGCTTACTGTCAGACCCTACCGAGGGAGCACCGCAGCAGAGCTCAAGAATGCGAAGGCACACGCCCGGCTTGAGAAGACAGCGAAAGGCCCAACACCATCAAGTACAGGAAAGTCTGGACTCAGACCCCATGGGGTCCAAGCGGATTTCTGTTGGACTAGAAAGCTGCGGGCTCAAAATGGAATGGAATTAACTCCAAGCAATAGATAAAACTTATAAGAAACTGGAAAATAATAGAAAAATGGTGAAGAAGACATGTTTCTTCTTAGAGCAAGGAGGGAGGAAGAGACAGAGAGAAACAGAGACAGACAGAGACAGAGACAGAGAGACCTAACACCTAATCAGGAACTCTGCAGGGAAATGTTCAAGAAAGACATAGTCCAAAATCGAAACCAGATGACGTGCAGACTGATTTAGAGGCTTGACTATTTTAAAAAAGGAGAGAGAGCCTTTTTTCTTTTGTGTAGTACAAAAGGGAGGTACTGGTGTCATATAGAAAGAAAGGTTATGGCATATACTATTTAGCCTTATACAAATAATACTTAGGTCACGATATTGTTTTTGTGTGTGTGTCTTTAAGACAGGGTCTCCCTATGCAGTTCAGCCTGGCCTTGAGCTCACTTTGTAGACCAGGCTGGCTTCACACTCACAATGGTCCTCCTGCTGCAGCCTCTTGAGTGCAGGGATCACAGGGGTGCACCACCGTGCGCGACCTTAAAGTCACACTATTGATGAAAGTGTTTACTCGTTTTCAATTAACAAAATCAATTTATAGGTAAAGTAGAAAGGACTACACTATGTTTACCAGAGAAATATTAAAAATCCGTATAAATTATAGACAAATATGTGAGCGTTGGTAGGTAGGAAGGGGGTAGGAGAAAGGATGGGGCACTCGTCACTTCATTTCACAAGGCAGGGGAGGAAAAAGCTTTATATACAGTTGCTAGAACACTAGAAGTCCAGAATCCTAATTAAAATGGCAAAGGCATCTGATAAATACACTGACAAAAAATAAAATTGCTGGAAAGAAAGAGAGGGTTGGTGAAGGTACACTAAGCCTTCATTTATCAACACATAAAATACAACATCAAAGGGTCTGGAATGAAGGACATAATCATATGATGTAGAGATGCACAAACAACTAAAGCCAGAGCGACCGAGAGACCCGTGGTGCACAGAGGAAGACCAGATGAGCATTTCTACTGCTGGATTTTAAAATCACATGGGTGGATTTTTCTTTGTTAAAAAGATCACCAGCGAAGGTGCTCCTGAAAAGGAGGTACCCGGCTCCCTTTATGAGAGTGGCACCCCATCCTCATCCTACTATTTTATTATCATGCAACCATGACATAAACTGTGCATAGCCATGGCCCTTTAGCCTGGTACCTGGCAAAGAAGGCAGCTCTAAGGGACTAAATGAAAAAAAAAAAAAAAAAAAGTTGAAGAAAAGCTTGGTCCTGCTCATTTTGCTGAGAACAGACAGAAAAAAGCTGCCCAAACTTAAACACATAAAGTCAGGTTAAAAGCACACAAACAAAAAAAAGTACATGCCATTAGACTTATCAGGCATGTCACATGAATTTCTAAATTCTTCTTTTGTTGATTGTGTTCCTCTAGTGACTTAACTCTCTGAGTTTAGCTTGGGGTAAATACTGCAAGACTCTCTGTATGGGGTGCATTAAAGACTTTCTACTTTGCTCCACGTGACTTTGCCTTTAATGATTACCTGTTTTGTGCTAAAAGAAAAAAAAAATTCAACAATAAAAATGTGAGCTGTGAATTTCTCTTGGCATCGAGGGAACAATAAATTCACACCTTGGAGTTCGAGGCGCGTTCTGTGCACATTTGTCACTGGTGAATTCTGTTATCACTACCTTCACTTCTGTCACCACCATTTCTGTTGCCTCGCTCACCACCGTCACAGCCCCACCCCAACGCGAAAAGCAAGAGTGGGTATAAGAAACACGAATTCCCCAGTGTGGACGGTCACACCCACAGCCCACTAAAACTGCACATTCCCTAGACTAGCTGGGGGGGGGGGCTCTTCAATCCGTCTCAATCCCTGTCTGTCTTCTACAATATGAACATCTCACCGCACTAGACACTATGTGTCATTTACATGTACTATTTAAATACATCACATGCTCTTTAAATACAGTCGCTTTAAATTCAACACACTGTATAGTTTTGCTTAAGCAAGTCGCAGGATCACAACAGCTCTAAGGTTAAGCTTCTGCTGCCCTCTGTTGGCTACTGCGGCTATTGCATTGTATTTAACACAATGAGTACGGAAGGACATTATAAGGTCACAGGACATAGGTGGAAGGAGCTCATTAAATCTCCTAATTTGATAGCGGGAAGAAACTCCCAGTTTAAAAAAGAGAAATAAACCAACTGAAATTTACACAGTGTAGGTGAGTTCTGGAGTCCAGGGTAGAAATACATTCATAACTATCTCTTGTCATTCGTTCACTCATTCATTGGTTCCGAGGTACCGTGTCGGGGTTGGGGATATGGATAGATAAAAGATTTCTACACTTATAAATTATGTGGTATAAAAAGATGTGAAACAGTAAGCGTGATATAAGTACCGTGCTTGACGCTGAGAAGGGTAAAAGCAAGATTAATAACCTGGGCTGCTAAGAAAACAGCTTAGAAAATGTGCAGTACAAGTTGAATCTTGAAGATGCGTGGATGTTTACCAGTTGGGTTGGGGGAGTAGTAAGTTCTAATCAAAAGACGTGACATGAAGAAGGACACAGTGGCGTAAAGCCGTACGACCCTTGCAGGTGGGAGGAAGCGGAGAGACTGGGAGAGGGACCTGGGGTAAGATGAGAGATGAGGCTGGAGGAGAGGGCGGATCGCGAAGGTCTGGGGCTATCTGAAGTCGCGGGGACCTCATTCTGTAGCGGAGAGCCGCCAGCGGAAGCGCTGCCACAGCTCGGGTTTGTGGGCTCACTTTGGTGGCCTTGTGGGTTGGTTTGAAGGTGGAAGCAGGAAACAAGATAATGAAGGTCTAGATGAGGACAGAAACCAAATCTGCGTTGTCGATATTGTTGTCTCAGGCGATTAGGACGATGTCTGCCGTTAAGTAAATCCTTTCTCAATGAATGAAAAGGCTGCGCTGCTTTCTTATCCAGGTAAAACGCTCTGTCACCCAGTTGGCAGTTGTGTACACAGATAAAAAGCCAGGCACGCACCGCGGATTTGTATGCTACCTGAACGACGGAGTTGTTCTACCTACAAAGTGTAAAGCTAACGATAGTAACAGTTAAATAATTTGAAAAGTTCTGGCTGAGATTTCTTTTCTTTTTCTTTCTTTCTTTTTCTTTTTTTTTTCTTTTTTTTTTTTTTGAGACAGGGTCTTGCTATCCAGCTCAGGCTGGCCTTGAGCTCACTTTGCAGCCCAGGCTGGTCTCCAGCTCAACAATGCTTCTGCCTCAGCTTCCCAAGTGCTGGGATTATAGGCCTGTGCCACCACGCCCAGTTTTTGTCTTTCTTTTTTTTTAAACAGGGTCTCCTTTTTGTCTTTTTTTTTTTGGCTGAGGTTTCTAGAAGATGAATTGACATAGCCCAGGGTAATATAATGTCTCTGTAGTATATAATATGGATTCTTTCTTTTAAGTAAATAATGAGCGCTCTCAAAAATTGCTTTTTGACTAGTTTAACATTTTACAAATCACAGACCTTCTACTCAATAACTAAATAGTCAGAGACTTTAAAGACATTAAAAATATATGTCACTGAGTGCTACCATCAGGCAAAAGAAAACAAAATTAACTCAAAAAGTTATAAAAAGTAGAGCACTGCAGCAGTGCACGAAAACAGAGCTATATTTCAGAATTCAAGTTTGGTTTAAAACTTGGGAACTTGAAGGTACTTCCAGAGATAATAAAGAAAGCTTGTTCTAAAAAATTCAAGTTAAAATGTAGCGACAATAAAGTTGAAGTCAGATCTGGATTGCTTATTGCTTTAAAAGAAAAATGCAATTCATGCTCCTCCTCCTCCCTTTTTTGCTTTATTTTATTTTATTTTAAGAGTAGGACAAATTTATTGAAAGAAAGAAATCTTCTGTCTGAGAGGAACAGAAGGGGACCCAGAAGGTGGGTTGCCCACCTACCCTGATTCTCAAGGGTGTTTTATTGAGCAAAACCACGAGGTGGGGCGGGTGTAATGTGCGTCAGAACTATAACCAATCAATAAGACTATAAGTATAACCGCATAGGTAATGTGATCCAATGGCAAATCATAGGATGGGTGTGAGGTGGGACAAGACTATGGTGAACCAATGAGTGTACAACAAGTACGGTCACTGGGGTAATATTGATTAAATGGGGATCAAATGGGGAATCAATTATGTACCAAGTGCACGGGGCACACAGGGCTTTCCTGGAAGAGGTGGGTTGAGGAGGCTTGGTCCTCCATGCCATCGTGATTGATGCCTATTTAGAATATCAGTCACTGCTGTTTATGCCTGGCCTTTTTGCTTTAATCAACTACTAATGCCTTCTGAATAAGGTAATTTTAGAACAAAAATGATTCCAAGAGTAAAAGCAAATGAGAAACAGTTATAGTTTTGAGCCAGGCATAGTGGTGCACGCCTGTAATCCCAGCACTCGGGAGACTGAGGCAGGAGGATCACTGTGAATAACAGGCCAGCCTGGGCCACAAAGTGAGTTCAAGAGCAACCTGAACTGCATAGTAAAGCTCTGTCTCAAAAAGACTAATGGCAATAATAATAATAATAATAATAATAATAAACAGTTATAGTTTTGACAAAAACAAACCAAGCAAACCTCTTTAAGGCAGATCAGATTTGCAGTTTCTAGCTAGAGTAGGGCTGAGTAGAAATATTCCTAGCTTTTGCTTTTCGATACTTTTAAAAGATGATAAACGAATATAATCATCATGGAAAATTTTGAAAATTCAGAAAAATGTAAAAAAGCAAACAGAACACACAAAACAGCAAATACAAATATTCCAGGATTCTGTTACTCAGTAACTGCCATTGTTAAAATTTTAGGAAATATCTTTCTAGTCTTATTTCCACAAGTTGTTTTACAAATTTAGAATTCAGTAAGTAAAAAGCTATGTTTTTCTACTACTTTTACTACATTGTAAGTTCCCTATCATTTGAAGTTCTTTGTAAATAATTATTTTTAATTGGTTGTCTGATAGTCCATATTTGAATAAATCATAATTTCCTAAAAATGTTATTAATGAATGGTGTTTCCACTTTTTATCTTAAAGCTTGGATGCTTGCTCAAATTTAACATTTTTTTCCCTTCAAATATACACCCTGTGAAGTCATGGTGAGAACTTTAGAGGCTATAACCACTACCCACTCTCAGCCTAATCTAGCAAGTACTCCTTGCTGAGATATGTGTCTTTTAGCCTTACTGTGGTAAAGCGTAATAGTTTAAAAATATCTGCTTCTGCTCAATTTTGCCAATTATCAAACCTGGCAAATTCAGTTGAGACAACACACAAAACAAAAATTGACATAAGCTACTTTCATACACTATATTTTTCTTATCAGAAAAACAATTTCAGAAGAAAGAAAATTCCCAAGGAACAGCTTACCTCGCCCAGGAATATCATTAGGAAGTTTATGGTTTTTCCAGATGAATGTGGGGCTTACATCCATTGGGGTAGTGTGATTTTTGTGGGTATCATAAGTCAAAAGAGGCTTGTACTGCATGAGGAAACAAAAAAGAAGGTGAATAGGAAAGAAAAAATTAGAGCAATTTCTGGTGAGAGTCATTCTTCTGCTTAAATTTAGCAGTAGCACCTCTCAGTGGAACAAGGTAATTGTTAACCAGCTTGGAACTAGCTAGGGTCTGCTTATTGGTTCATGGCATGAACATAGACTGACGAATTTTATATTTCTTTAGGATTGTGTACTAGGCCATTAACTCCCGCCCAACACAGATTCTTTGGGTCTGTAGAGAACTAGTTCATTTCACCACTGTTAGAATAGAGGCCATAAAAACTAAATGGCTAGATCCAAGTCACACAACAAATGAAGCACTGGTGTTTACAATGGTATCAACTTGTATTTGAAGACCGTGTCTCAAGAAAGTGCAGGACAGCTCATGTCCATGATCTCCTTTGACATACATCAAGGAGCCCTGAATGATTCTACATTTTAAACATTCTATTAACTTAATCATTTTCTCATCTCTCTATCCCGTTTTCTTCTCTTTGCACGACACCAATCAAGTTTCTATGATAACAGATTTATTTTTCAAGTAATCTGCTAATGCAAATATTAATGTTATAGCCTTATTACTATGGCAGATATTGAGATCATTTTGTAAGAGACAAAAATATTTATCCTAAATCACGGCCATGCCCTTAAAATATTCTATACTAAAATTTTACATTTTCGGGCAATCCACTCACGACCCCTTCTGTCGGTCTTACACAGAAGCTTTCTTTCCCCAGTACATAGCTACTGCTCTTAACCTCCGTTGTTCCAAGAATTCATTCTTCGATTTTAGAGAACAGGAACTCATACCAGACATCTAGCAGTTTGGAAGTTTCTTTCCCTTATATCAAGATCATGCAAAAATTTCCATGTAGCAAAAAATGAATAATCATATGTCAAATGAAAAGGTATCTGCTGATTTTCTCTGCTTTGATGAATGATCAACGTATTTCTAGGTGTAAGAAATACAAGTGTCGGGAATCAGCTCCCCGCCTGCTGCCCCTGCCTCTCAGCCCCTCCCCCCAGCCAGCCTCTCCTGCGTGCCCCTGTCCCCTCCCCCACCCCCTTTTCTAATCCCTCCTCCTCCTTTGCTCTAAACCCGAGGGCTAGTCTCTTGTCACATTTTCTCCCTCCTGCCAGCCTCCTTTCTCTCCCTTGGTGAGTCAGAGGTGGCCAGAGACAGACACGGTCACCACAAGACTACGGGGACAGAGACTCCTAGAGAGAAGAACCAAGAGACAAACCAAAGGGACTGTGACACACAGTGACACACGATACAGACAGACAGGAACCCAGACTAAAGAGACAGCTACGCCGAGGCAGAAACCTGGAGAGACAAACACAAAAAATATAGGCATCCAAAGAGAGACAGGCTTGGAGGACAGAAACCCAGACATGGAGAAGGACAGAGGAAGTGGCCCAAAGAAAGAAGATCTAAGAAACAGTCTGGGTGTGGAGGCGCACACCCAGGATTCTGGCACTAAGGGAGGCTGAAGCAGGAGGATAGAGGAAAAAAAAAAGAAATACAAGTGTGTTGTGGAAAAATTTGAAATGCATAGACAAATATAAAGAAGAAAACGTAAATTTTGTCTAATAGCACAATATAGCCACATATAGTAATATTTTTAATATTTTTCCAAATTTGTTCAGGTACGACATATATATTTCAAACACATTTGTGTTTCTTTTTCTTATATCTGTTATACACTATACATTTTTAATTTAATTAATAGAGTCAATCAGAGTTTATTCATATATTTATAATGTTTTATGAGTAAAGTAAAAATCTGCATACTGGGTAAATTAAATGAAGGGAATGATCTGTCCTCCCAATTCATTGTACTCAACTTTAAAATTTTGTATAAAATCTAAATGAAGAAAAATTAAATTATTATGGGGGAATAACCCACTTTGAAAACCTTTTATCATTAAGAGTAGGGTTACTATGGATTCAAGTATTTACAAACCACAGTTGAAAGTATTCTTATTAAAGGATAGAGGAAATTTTTAAAAGGTAGTACTGTAACCCAAATATACACCCTGTGAAGTCATGGTGGGAGCTTTAGAGGCTATAACCACCACTGGCCCTCAGCCTAATATAGCAGACACTCTGCTGAAATTTGGCCTTATTGCAGTAAAGTGTAGTAGATTATAATTTAAAACTAAGAAAAAAATAATTTAAAAAATGTATTTTTAATGAAAACTGCATCTTCAAGACATGAATTACTCTAATCTTTTTCCCTCCCAGGAAAATGACTCTAACAATACTCCTAACGGTATTTCTGAATAGAACCCTAATTGCACAAGATAAAGGAACCAGAATCATCAAACAGGAATATAACAAAAGAAAAAGCATCTTCACTGCAAAAGGAAGAATCAACAAAGTGAAGTAACAGCCTACAGAAGGGGAGGAAACACTGCCAGCTACTCCTCGAACAGAGAACTCACATCTAGAATATACAACAAATTTAAAAAACATGTAGACCCCGAGTAAAAATAAATACATAAAATAAAAATTTACCTTTTCAAAACTATCTTCAGAACTTGAAAACAGAACCTGTAACTGCGTGCACAGAGGCTAGGAAGAGCTGGTGGTCGGGGATGTGGCCTGTTAAACATCTGTGGAAATCGACCCTGGATAGGGATCCTGTCCTGATAGCCCTGTGTTTTGAGAATTAATCTCGTTTTCCCAAATATACATAACATATAACACAACGGATGGCATTGGGCTTTTGAAAAATTTAACCCAATTTGCTTTTAGAGAAATAAGTGAAGAGAATACTTTTCACGTTGAAGACCAGTCATGAAGCTAAGATCTCACTCACGTATCTGCCTCCCCCCTGCGCGGCAGGGGCATCATCCCAGGTGCGAATGACTTGAAAGAGGATGTAGGTATCTTTGTGGTTTCCGTTAGTGACTGAAGTGTGAAAGGGGGTCTGGTTTTAAGGTTTTCCCGTGAAATGCATGCCAAATATAGCACAATGGTAAAGGTTCTGTACGGTACCTAAAAACTAGGGATTACTGCTCTGAAATTCTGCTCCCAACTTTCCAGTTTAGCATTCTTGGAGTCTAGACATCTTTTCTCTAGCTTTTCACATTTGTCATTATAGATACCTTTTGCCAAGCTAAGTCAACATATATACTCACTGTATTATCTAAGCACGCATAATGTTCACACTGGGAAATGAAAACCTCAATTTTTCTTCTCAGGTTTCTAGTTATGTCAGCATCTGACTTCTTGAAGGAAAAACCTTTTTTACTGACCACTTGATTGGCCAGAATGCTGGAATGGTAGCTTTCTTAGTTTGGGTGCCCACAATTCTGGATGACAAAAATAGGTGGCCTGTTTTTACGTTAAGTGACCAGCTATTAACAGTGTCAGATAAAAAGCTCAACAGTGGAGGGATGGAGAGATGAGTGTGAGCCTCTCCCTTTCCTTAGAGCCTTACTGTCTAGGTGAGGAGAGGGTGGACACAGAAGCACAGTATCACAGGGCTGTTTATGTGGCCCTTGCTTTTGTATGAATGCACTTCATGGTTTTTGTGGGAGTTCAAAGGAAAGAACTGGGAAGACTTGAGTGACATCTTTGGTTACAGAAGTGAAAAAAAATTCTTAGGAAAGACTTGCTATCCTCTCATTGATATTCCTTCAATATTTCTATGATTATATTATTTTATTTTGTATGGTATACTGTATATGTATATATGTATATAATAAATAAAGTCAATATTCTGAGTATGAAGTTCTATGGTCTAAACCAAGGCAGGCAGCAAAGCTGCAATGATCTTCCAATTCTAAGCATGGCTTGTCTAATTCCTTCTGGGTTTTCTCTGTTCTGAGTCCCTTCTCATCCAGCCACATCACCCGCATCTCCCGATTAGCAGTGTGACATACTTTCTTGGTATCCACAGACGTGTACAGTAGCACCATGACATTGTCGATATCCCCAGAGTCATCCAACGTCACAGGACCTGTGGAGCCTGAGGGAAAAATCAGACAGCATTAACGGCCACGGTGGACTTCTTACCTAAAACCACTTCGATCACGACAGAGAGCATAAAATAGGTTCGAATTGCTCTTCTCCAAATTTACTGAAAGGGGCTGGGAATATAGCTTAGGGGCACAAGCACCCACCTAGCAAGCACAAGGTCCTGAGTTCGATTCCTAGCATCAAAAAAAAAGTTTACTGAAAAATTATTAACATAATGTTCTTATCAGAGAGCACCTGAATTGGTTTTTGAGTCTGATTTCTAAAGGATTTTTTAAAAATGAGAGATGTTGTTTATTTAGAAGGAAAAATAAGTTTTCATTGCACTCAGAAAGGCAGTAAATATAATCAGTTAATAAATTCCTTATGTACTAGTGATAAATTTTTACCAAGATCACTTAACAAACTAGTAATATAAGCCATTGCACAATCTCACTTAGATTATAAAGAGATTGAAATCCTTTTGCTATCACTTTTTGGCTGAAGATATTGGAAAAAAATTACTTAAATTCTCTGCTTCAGTCTTTAATTTATAGGGCCGAGGATATAGCTCAGTGGCACAAGCGCCTTCCTGGCAAGCACAAGGTCCTGAATTTGATTCCCAGTACCAAAAAAAAGAAAAGAAAGAACAATCTTTAATGCATAAAATGATAACAGTATAGGGTGAATGTACAAAATGGCTGTTCATATAAAAAATAAATGAAATCAGAAATTTCACTTGGTTCAATATAATAATTAATGTTTACTTCACGTTTATTATATACCAGGTTCTGTGCTTAGTACCTTATATGCAGTTGTTAATTTATTCTCCTTGGAATTCTGTGATAGAGAAATTGTTATTACCTCTATTTTATCAATGAGTAATTATTTATTTATTGAATTCAGAGATATTAAGTGACCTGTTCAGGGTCATAGAGCTGGTAGGTGGCAAATTTGGGATGCAGATAAATCTGTCCTGGCTTGCAGACTGTTAGTAGCCGGTAGGATGGTTGACTATGATCATGGGTATGAGAAAATTAAGAATGTACTTAAAATGCCTGGCAGAACTTGGGGTGCAGGTGATGGTCAATAAGCGAATGTCCCTCCCTCTCTGCTCCTTCACTGGGGCAGCAACGGTCCATTCCTGTCACTATCATACAACTCTCAGAGCTAGTGCTGGGCACCTTCTGTTCTCTGAAGCCAACAGAAGACTTACTCTGCAATGAGACAAATCTCTTCCTGAGTAGCATTTTAAGGCAAGCTAGAGAAGGCACTTGCTTAGAAGGAAATTTCATAATCTTGGAGTGACATCTAGCTACGAAGGATGGGAGACTGAGTAACGGTTGCTGGCAAAGGGAATGTCAATCCAGCATTACCGAGGCACGAGTTGTTTTGATGGTATTGCTGTGAAGGATTTTGGTAGTTAGAGGCTTAACAGTCTCAGGTCCTTGAAGGGTAGAAAGGAGAGATGCAAAGGAAACAAAATGAAACTCAAATATCTCTCTTATTAGTCTCCAAACATAACCAAAATACCCTGCTAAGAGCTTGTTCATAACTATAGAGCCTGAGCTAGCTACATGCTGGTTCTGTGATACCCAAAGATTCTGAAAGGTTGTAGTATAGACTGGGTCCAGATATTCACGATGGCATCCAAAGACTTTGTGCAATATTTGCCTCCAATTGAGTTCAAAGGTCTGTAGCTATCAGACCATCAACTGCTAAACCCTCTTTGTTTCCAAAGCCCATCCCAAAGCCCAGATTCCTTTTATCTCGGCTGTTGTGTGCTCTTAGAAGACGAATACCTTCAAAAGTGAGGTTCCTGAAAGCGTGAGCAAATTTGGGAGTGGTAATAATTTCTCCATTCTGAAGAAATGTCTTCAGCATGTGGCCAAACAGCAAGATTCCATCCAGGTACGCAAGGGCAAAGCCAGTGAAACCCTGAATGACAAAGGAAAACTTTTAAATGGGTCTGAAAAGATTCTGGTCCTGATACTGCAGCAAAATATTCTTGGGATCATCAGGTAACTGGAAAGCTAACGAGATCTTAGGGGAACTGGAAGGGTGGTAGTAAAGGAGACTTCTGGAAAATCCTTCCTCGGGTCAGCGCTCTTTGCTAGCCCATGCCGCACTTCTTCCGCCTTCTATCGGGATCCATAAAGTGAAAACATCGCCTTTAGGAAAGCGACTACAAGCAGTTAGACTTCCTTCCCAGGAGGACATGACTGCAGCCAGGAGAGTCAACAAAAAGCATTTTCGTGATGCTTAAAGATTTTACACAGAAATACTACTTGCTTGTAGTTTAATGTTTCCACTGAAGCACAAAAGAAAAATCCAAAAAAACCACACACCAAACAACCCCTGCGGTTCAGTATCCTGAATGGAATACGGGAGTCATGTTTGGATGATGCCACTGAATTTGCAAGCGGCGGCTCTGCCTGGATATTACTTCAGACCTAAATGCCTGCGCTGTGGAAAGACTGCAGAGGGCCAGGAGTCCTCTGCTGCCCTGGCTATTGCGTGGTGAGCTGCACAGGATGGCCTCTGCTTCAAAAGCTCTTACCTCAGCGAGGCCAACCGTGTTCTGTTACATCTGGCGGTGTGAACCGCCCACCTGTGGAGGATCACACACTTTTGACAGAGCTAACTAGCAGTGCAAGTTCCATGCACCTAGGATTAAATTTGTTAGAAAGTACAAAAAGGAAAAAAACCTTTTTATTGGTTTCAGTTTCTGGTGCTGAAAACATTTCATGAGATGAAAATAGGTTGGATAAGATCTATCTCAGGAGTTTCTGACCCTCATTTTGGCAGGGTGATAAATTGGAGAGTTGTGCTACTACCAAGGTATCTAACTTTCCTCACAACTCCCTCACCGTTGCCCTTAATTTGTCAGTGCAGAGTTGTTTGGGGTCCCTCGTGGCTGTGCCCCACACTTCCTGTAAGCTGCTATCCGCTGATGGTCTTGGAGAACACAAAATATCCCCAAAATGTAACCACAATAGAGTACAGTGCTGTTGTCAGAGGGCCTGTTCTACAACAAGGGGGCCGTGATTTAATGTCTTTTTGTTTATACCAAATGGGACCCTGAGATAAAAGGAATAAACTAGGACTGTCCTGGAAAAAGTTAATTATAGTAGAGTACAGTGTCATAAACTAGGAATATATTTCTCTAAAAGTATATTTTGGTACTAGTGATAGAAGAAAGTCACTTTAGGATATAGGAAACTTTACTTTATACTATTTAACTTCTACCTCTCCTAAGCGTAAGACCAGCCCTCTAGCTCTCAGGACTGGAGGGCTTCCTGTCTTCATGTATGGTCACCTTCCTTCTTGTTATGGTTATATCTGGATGTCCTCCCAAAGCCTCATGCACTCATAGATGTGGCTTTGGGGTAGAAATAGGGTCATGAGGGTGTGATACTTATCAGTAGATGAGTCCAATGATGAGTTTATAATGAAATGTGATTCTGGGAAGAGGTAGGTCACTGGGGCGTGGCCTGAAAGGCACTACTTCCTCACCCTCCTCCCTGATTTCTTTCTGCTTCCTGCTGCCCTGCTATGAGCTGTTTTTCCTCTGCCATGCCACCCTCCCATGGAGCCAGGCAACTATGGGTTAAACCTTCTACAAATTGTGAGCAAAAATAAACTTTTCTTTCCTTAAGTTGTGGGTATTGGGTATTGTGTCCCATAGATAAGAAGTCACTAGGGTACTTCCTAGGTTGCAAAAGTCTTGACTGTTGAATTGGTCTAGAGCATGGGTGCCCACCCTTTTGGCTTGACTGGGTTGCACTGGTGAAGAGAAACTGTCTTGGGCCACATATGAAATACATAATATAGTAACAAAACTTCTTTTTCTGTATATTTTAACTTACTAAATTATTTTGTTAAATAACACAAGCCCAAGTTTAACAACCAAGAAAACTTACATGTCTGCTTAGTAACAATAAATGCCTATCTTCACAGGCACACACATGTGTTCAAAGGTTTAAATATTATTATCAGCCAGATGATAATACTACCACACCCCAGGTGTGGTGGTGCATGCCTGTAATCCCAGCACATGGGAGGCTGAGACAGGAGGATCACTGCAAGTTAGAGGCCAGCCTGAATTACAAAGCTAGACCTTGACTCAAGAAACAAACAGAATACCAAAACCAAACAAAACAACAAAAAAGAAATACTATTTTCAGTAAGTGCTTCATTTTGCTAGCAAAGTTGCACAAGCACCAGTTGCATAAGAGCATACAACATCTGATAGATATGTGTTTCAATTCAACTCTGTGGCAATGCAGGGGGAAGAGTGACACTGCACTGTGCCCTCCCCTACACAGTGGCCCATTGTCGCCTACAAAGTCTGAACTCCAGCACTGTACAATTGAGTCATGAAGGTATCTTGAATCATCTCACAATAAACTTTATGGTCTTGTGGAGTTGTACTACTAGTTGTATTGAGCTGAGGGCTAGACACGCCTGATCCAGAGTCTGGAAGTAACCTATACAGAGTAAGAATTCTGGTAGGGATCCTGCTACTGCAACATGCTCTACATGTCATTCTCAGTTAATATTTGTTGAGTGAACTGAAACAAGTAAAAGTTATTGAAAATTTAAGAATTTGGGCCCAAATAAAGGAATAATTTTCTTACCTCATGTAACACACACACATACACACACACACACACACACACACACACACACACATACACACACTTTACCTGTGAAAACCCTTTGGAGAGAGAACTATTTATGACGGAATTCCCAGGAGGCAGTGTCAGAACAAGAACATTTTTCATGTAATCAGGGGCTGTAACATTGTCTTCAAAGTAGTGGTTACTGTCAAAACAAACAAAACCATGTCCCTCATAAAAATTAAGTTCCACTCAAAATAGCAATGCATCTTTTACAATTCACTCAAACTGTAATATCAGCCCTGGGGAAAAAAAAACAAAAAACTTTTTTTTGGTAATCGGCAAAACTTTCTATTTTCCCCAGATAGCATTATTTTCTTTTACACTGATAAACTGCATAAGAAAATTTAGGTACTGGTGGTTAGCATACAAAAATGGAAAGGAAGAATCAGAAATAGATGCTGTTTTGAGAAAGAATTCTTGGGCACTAGCCATGTAATCTAGTGCTTGCTCTTAAGTCTTATTGACCCTGGGTGTATACAAGAAAACTTTCTTTTTCTTGAAACCTCTTAACAATTTAGAGGTAGTGGAGTATAAAAAATTTATCATTAAAGGTAGATGGTAAAACATAAGCAAACAAAGAGAAAACACTTTCTATAACACTATTGTCTTCTTGATTTATGGGGCTTTAGATCAATGATCCATGTACCATTAGCTTCTGGACAAGGCTTGGTACATTGTAGCCTGTCAGTACTGTCTGAGATTGCTCTAAAAATCATGTTTCCTATGCTTCCTATTAATTTGGATGTTTTAATCTGCAAAAGCTCTAACATGATTGAATTGGATAACATCATTTCATGTGTAAATATATCTACTATTTGCAAAGGACTGTAGTGATTCTTTTGCTAATATTATCATATTATCATATCTAATCATAAAAGCACGCCTCAAAAAGTGGACATTTTAATTTTCGTTCCACAAATGAGAGGATTTAATCCCCAAATGCTAAGAAATATCCAAGAGTCAAAAGAACCAGATGTATCAGAATTAGAATTTGAATACAAGTTACATCTAGTTTTAAATGTCATGATGTTCCCATAACTTAGCCAGACAACCTTCGGGAATTGTCACAAAGGTAAGCTAACACTTTGGCTGTTGATTGTGTTGATTCTCTCTGAGAAGTCCTCAGTGCAAACAAGAGGACTTGTATATTTGGTATAATTTTATACCAAATTGTATAATTGGTATAATTTTATGTTCAGAGAGCAAAGCAGCTGCAGAAATCAATGTAGCGGTAGCATGAAATGCTGATCACTTTGCCCTCTTTTCTGCATTTATGCAGCTAAAAGGCTAAATTGATTATTTATCTTCATGAACATCTAGCTATCCAACATAAAGGTGTCCAACATCTGGCTGAAGTTTTTAACGCTTCCTTTCCCTTCATACTGTGTAAAGCTCCTGCAGCACGGGTGACGTGATGAAGCAAATACAGGGAAGATCTACAGCAGTAAATACAGACAGGTAATGACTAATGACTCAGTCAGGCAAGTAAAGTCCTATGATCCAGTGAGTGGGAGAAAGAGCGAACGCACACCCCTGATACCTTCTCCCTCAGCCTTAGTCTAACTCAAATACTATGTTGAAACAATTTCTTAATGGGGTCTCCAACCATATCAGCAGGTGAGTTTTAAAAAAAGATGGGGTGGGATAAAAGTTTGTTTCTATTCTCCAGAATTTTTTCTCTTTAGTCTGAGAGAAGTACAGAGGAAAAGATCACCACTTGATAACTACGTCACCAGTGATGAAGTATAACTGTACAAATCAGAACCACAGAACTGAAACTGACCCCTACCAAAGGTGGCTGAAGGACCAAAGGCCACTAAGAACTGAAGGGGAGAAATGAAGACCATATTCCCAGGAGTCACATTAAGCTATTCATGGATTTATCACTTTCTGGACAAAGATCTTAAAATCAGGCCAGTGATCAGGATTTGATTTGCTCGAGTAGGCATTGGAGATGGACGATCATGGGGGCGGTTTATGAACCTTAAGTAAAACTTTTGTATTTAGATAGAAGTGAAGAAGGAATATCTCTCTTCCAGGATCACACTTGATTAAATGAGGGTGAAGGAGTGAAACTTCGGCACACACACTGTCATCATTCAGAACCACAGAAGAAGCTGTGCAAAGAAGAGAAGAGTGTGTCTTCCAGAAACACTTGGAATACTTTTCTGAAATAAGGATGGTGCTTGAAAGTATTGTACCTACTTGAATAGATCCACCAGGATGATGACAATGTCTTCCGCCACTGTCCAGTCAACCTTCAGGGATTCCACGGTCTGGGGTGTACCACATATAATAATCACTAGGACAGAGAAGGCCAGGCAAAAAGAGAAACATGACAGCTCACGTATACAACAGGGAGGAACCAGTTTGCTCAACCTGAACCCAATGTGTCCATGTTACTTTTTAAAAGATTAGTGATCTGAGCACAGTGACACACACCTGTAATGCCAGCTACTTGGGAGGCTGAGGCAGGAGGATGGCAAGTTCAAGGCCAGCCTGGACAACTTAACAAGAACTCATCTCAAAATAAAATTAAAAAATAAGGATTAGGGGTGCAGTTCAGTGGTAAAATGCTTGCTTAGCACGCCTGAGCCCCTGGGTTCAATACCCAGTGCTGCAAAAGAAGAAAAGATTAACACCAATTCTCCAAATCACTTCTTATTTCATTTACAGCTATGGAGTTGGAATAGAACTGCATGGAATCTTCAAAACAGATCTAGTTCATTTCCTTAATCTTGTAGATATAAGGCAGATGAAGCCAAGATGTTAGAGCAATCAAGAACCATTAGATGACAGAAATACATTTTGAGTAGGACTTAAATTTATGAGTCTTTGGTGGGCCTTACTCCACTAAACTGGGCTGGTGTGGTTACAAAAGTGAAGTACTGTACACCTTTCCATTTGTAAAAGTAGTTGAAAAAGATAATGAAAGTGAAGGTGAGAGGAATTTATCATGCAGAACTTTGTCTTAGAAATCTGAGTGGCAAAATCCAGTCTGAAACTCTGTCCCTAATTGTATCCAGCTCTTTCATGAATCCATGGTTTTATGCCTAAGAGAAATCAGACACTTCATTAGATCTTCCCATGTGTTGTGCTGTCCAGCTGAATTGTCTTTAGAGACATAAGTAATTAATTTCATACTTCCTTCCTCCCAGATCTTGCTTAATGTTTTGCAGCTGGCAGGTTCTTAATACACCAAGTGCTTGAGGATGTCAGGAGATGATTATATGAATTATGTCAGGTGATTTGTCTAGTAAGTATCTTCCCTTGTAGAAAATTCCTATCATTGATTTCTTTGCTCCTGATATATTCCCACTTAATAAGAGAACTCTATAAAGTGTGATAAATAACTTCAGTGAGAATAAGTTTCTCCCATTAGTCTTCCACACTTGGCTACACCTCATTGGGCAGATGACAGATATACAAAAGAATTAGGAAAGTGAGATAGTCTTTGATGCCTTGTAATTTTACCTGAGACCATATATCAATAGATTTAGCCTCTTGGTTACCAGGGAGCTCTGAGTTTAGAATGTGTGAGGATTAGCCACAAATCCAGTAAAATGCTGGATTGAAGTGAATCTTAAAAAAAGTCCACTGATGGTGAGTCATGGTATCATTTGAGTCTATAAAAGTTGGATGTCAGCATTGTCGTTCATTTCCGTTATATTGGTATGTTTACTTAATTCTACTTTGGTGTTTTTCTCACAGAGGATAAAGTTTTAGTCAATAAAGCTGCATGCAATTACAGATCTTTCAAATATATAAACTGTACAGGTCATGAGAAAGCTGTGAATGGGTAGATTTGCCCAGATGACTCTGAAAGAGCTGGTACTCATGAGGAAGACACTGACAAAATGATGAGCTTCCTGTCTTCTTACCGTTACTTTTCCTGTGAGGGTCTTTTAAGATCTTTCGAAGGTCATCAGTTCCTCTCAAGGTATCTTTGAAGCCGAGTACTTGAGAAAAATAGGAAACTCCAGCCTCCATAGCGTTGAGGTACCTGGAAAGGAAGATCAGGAAAGCAGTTTTGATTTCTCATGGCTTTCCTTTGCCTTTCACTTATTACATGCTGATCTGCCCTGTGTCTTATCTCAGATTCATTTCTGCTTTTAATGTAATGGACTATATCTACTATGATAACACTAGTTCGAGCTGTGGGCATCTAATTTCATGAAAACATGAGGAGCATTTTAGGGAATCTTCATGTATATAAACAGATAGATGTTTGATGTGTCCCTCCTACTGGCTTCTTGTGATTTGTGGGAGTTTCTACTCTGCCCTGTAAATCTGAAACCTTTGAACCTACAGTTCAGAAATTTAGAGTTGGTAAGAATAATTTCTGCTCCTATGAGATCTGAGGTTTTGTGTGTTCTAAATTCACCCAGAGTTTTTAGGGTGGGGTCTTAGAGTTGACCCTGTAGCATTCCAGGTGTGCATTGCTGGTGGTAGCCTAGCTCACTTCACCTTCTTTACACCCAGGTGGAGGTCAGAGAAATCAGCAGCCTTCTGCAAACACAGGCACTAACCCAAGGCAAAGACTCCCTCTGCCGCTTTTGCTGCTGTTGAGTGAACCATGCAACTTTTTTTTAACAACTGGACCCATTATTCCTGTTCTCCCTTGTTCCTTGTTCCTAAGAAAAAATGTGAAAGAAATTATTTCTAACTGCTGTACTTGTAAGTGTAGGCAAAATGCCCATTCTCTGGTATCATAGCTTATACAGCAATGTGAAAGCATTAATTTCTGATTTTCAGTTCATTGTCTGTAAAAGGAAGATCATGGTATTTGTTTTCTTTCCTTCAAAGGATTTATTATGGGAAATAAAATGAACATGCATGTACTTTCAAAACTAGGATGAGTGTTGTGAATGGAATCTATGCTGGTTATCTTTATGACATTTGAGTCACTTCATCCCTTTTGATTGTCTCTGTGTGCAAGATAGGCCTCTGTCACTCTAGTCTTGCTACTGGTGGAAGGTGTGTGCATCTCATTATAACCATGCGTTCTTCCTTAAGTCTATGGCTTCTCTTCAGGGCGAATGCCAGCAGAATGTTAATGATCTTGCTTACCAGAAACAGTGCTCAGACTCTGTGCCATTCTTGAAAACATATGAAGTATTCCAGGAAAACTTTTTGAATGGCAGATTATTGGCCTTCCAAAAGTCAACCAAGAAGTACGTCAACTTCCGAGCTGGTGACATCATCCTGGTTAAAGTTTCTTTATAGTCACAGGACAATCCAAAACTTCCAGCTGAAATCATGGGGTAGTTTAATTCTGTGTCTAGACTATGCCAAGAGGTCAGAAAAAAAATAGCATTCAGATTAATTCAAGTAGCAGAGATAAGTTCCCTCTTTTACCTGATTCAGCATGTATGTATAAATAGTAAGAAGGAATTAGGATCATTGAAGCAGTTTTCTCATTTATACAGGTACACTTACACAATTGAGTTTACAAACATTTATTGATTGTATGCTATATTAGAAGCACATGGGCTTCTGGACATGTGTCTTTGTTATTTAATTTATTCCATCAGAATGGTCTTTGGAGAATAGGACTGAGATATAGAAATGGGGCCACTATGACCGTCACAATTATTGAGTCAGAAGGGTGCTCACTACACTTTTCCTCTATTCACTGTTTTCTTTGCACCTCTGGTATGGGCCACCCCTAAGAGGAGCAGCAGCTGAGGATTCAGATTTCCTTCCGCAGCTCAGCACAGGGGCCTTCTTGTAGTTCCTTAAACATATCAAGCTTCATTCTTCAAGCAGGGGCTCAATCTAGACAGATTCCAGGAATGAGGTTACCTTCCATCTTTGCCTGGCTGACTTCTGCTTATCCCTCTGGTCCTAGATGAAATATCTCTTTATCAGAAAACGCTGGAATACCTAAGACCAGGGAGTTATTTGGGGTCAGTTGAATACTTGTCGCCTTCGCTAGACTGTGAGTTCCTGAAGGCAGGGACTTTGCCTGGCTTGTTCTCCTCTCTGCCTGGCTCACCTGCAGGTGTTCACCAGGTATTTAACAAAGGAAGGAAGGTAACATCCCTTTCCATCTTCCCATCTTTCACACTCCATTGGTTTCCCCCTTGCATCTCAAACTCATTATGTTCATAGTCAAACTTAACTGTTAATTTTGTTCCTCAAAACAGCTCTGTATGTTATCTTTCCATCTCTTTTAATGTTTTGAGATCTCAGGGCCTTCTCTTTTCATTCCTCAACATCCAATCAGTTACCAAGTCCTGTTGATTTTACCTTTAAATATCTTTAAAGCTGCCCTCCCTTCCCTTGCCCGCTGCGTTTTGCTAACTCAGCTCCTCTTTTATTTCCTTGCAGAACTTCTTGTCACTGGTCTCTGCTGTGTCTATCTTACAAGCTGCTCCAGACCTGAGCTTCATCTCCCCAGCAGGCTCAAAACCTTCGTGGTTTCTGATTAAATACAGCTTCCTGTATCTGGACTTGCTTCACATAAGCTTTCAAATGCTGTTCTGCTTAGTCTTTATTATTTTCCTATGCATTTCCTGAACTCCAGTTTATCTAGACCTTCACAAATTATCTTCACTTCCCTAGTCTTTGCTTTTACAAATAATTCTTCCTCTACCTGCCCGGGAAGCTTATCCATTCATCTTTGCCATTAAAATTTTAACTGTTCTTTAACACAAGAGTCGTGACATTTGCTTTATAAAGTCTTCCTGCTCTTGAAGCTTAACGCTCTTAACCTGTGGTGACCATTTCTTTCTATGCGTCCTGCATCTTGTTCGCTCTTCCCTGATGGAACCTGTGCCTTGGATTGATCCCAGGGTCCCTGTCATTTACTCTATAGTGTTTGGGCAGGCAGGGGTGTGTTTTACTTAATTTTCTCTCTGCTGATGAAACTAAAATGCTTCTTTGGACATAGAAGCTCCTCATATGTGATAAATCAATTTCCCCGATCCTCCTTTCCTTCTGAGTATAAGCTATAGCAACATCAGTAAATGCTCAGATCTGAAAACAGTCAGGAATGAATGCAAGGAAGAGTAAGATTCTGTATTTGTCTGCATTTGGGGATGGAGGGCGGGCTCAGAATGTGCTTCTGGGGTGTCTGCCATATGTGGTGAACCTGGGCATATGGATCCGTCCTGCTGCTGGGTGTGAGGCTTTATAAGAAGATATCAATAGAAACTTTGGAGGTCTAATGTTTACCCTATACTGATCACAAGAGGTCCTTTAGTGTAGTTTTCTCTGTGTAGATATAAGGTGGTCCTTAACTCAGGTGAAGATTATGAGAGAGAAAAAAAGGCATGTGAGAGGCAAGTGATCTAGAAAATATGATCTGGAAGAACAAGAATTGTGTGGTGATATGAATTACACTGAGTGAAATGAATGGAAGAGATGGAGACAGTTTTCCTAAAATCAGAGAAATACTTTCACTTTATAATATATTAGAGACTTTTTTCTGAAATGATTAGGGCACTGTGCAGAGCACTTAAACATGTTATTTATATTTTTCCCAAATAGAACTACAAAATAAAGACCTTGTTATTTTCCCTACTTTTAGAAACCAAAGGATAGGACAGAGCCCCACTGACACCCTGGGGTGTGCTGCTTCTCTTAGTCCTCTCTGCTGGTACTGTGATTTTTTTTTTCCTTTGTTAAATTCCTCAAGTTACTCCAAGGCCATGTGAGTCTCTTAGGCTCAGAGTTAGTGATTCAGCCCTAACACTACTGTCCTTCAGCCTGCACTGAGCAAAGGTTAAAGTTACCTAGGAAAAAGAGTTTTAACAAAACAGGAGAGTCCCAGTGGCCCTCATTGTATTGCCTTGACTACACTGTTGTTTGTCAACTCATTTAAATTGTATGGTCTTCTCCTAACTTCAAGGTACAATGATATAAAAGAACAGCGAATCAAACTACTTACTACATCTGGTAGGTGGAGTATGTACATGAGGGCCCCATGAGGGCACAGCCCATCTGCTTTTGTATCTGTAGGAGAAAAAGAGAAACACTGAGGTTTGAAACTAAACAAATTATTCAATGGGAAGAAAAGAAGTGAGGCCAGGGGAGGTCTCCCAGAAGTTAGGAAATGGGCCCCTGGAGATGACATACAGAATAGAAAGGAGCTGTGTGTGATGCCTTGGTCCAGGTTAGGGTCAACTTAGGGATAATGAGGTCTGAGGGAGAGGAGAGGAAAGGTATTCTACAAAGATAAGCTTATTGAGGGGAAGAGAGGGAGAGGAAGAGGGAGAGGGTCTGGCAGGCTGTAACTTCAGCAGTATCTTGTGGCAAGGTAGATTTGGGGCTTGAAGGAGAGGGTAGGCTTCAGCTTTAGGGAGAGTTACAGAGTGGGCCAAAGTGATTAACATGCAGTGCAACCAACTGGGTGATTGTTGATCTTATTTTCTAAGGGAATCTGGACTTACGAGGTGGAGTTTGTCAAATCACCCTTGCCTACTCGTTATCCTCCCAAGACCGAGAGTTACTACTGTACACAGGCTGTCATCCTGACATGGGGGTGAACTCTTTGTCAGTGTGAGGACACTGATTAAAGTTCTAGAACCATGGCTCTATTCCCAATGCTCTGGTTCTTGGACATCCCTTTCCTAGAGTTCTGTAGTATGAGGTTACTTGCATATCTATTTATCTCAAGAGACCTTGTAATATTCAAGCTCCTTAAAGCTCTAGTGAGAGTTGAGTATTGGTGATTGGGAGGAGGAACTAGGCGAGAACCTCCCTCTCTCCATTTCTAGCCTTTGATGTTACAGTTACTACTCTTAAAGTCATGTTTTGCATTCCAACCTTAGGTAATTAGCCTGTGGCTTGAGCTTGGTGATGATTTGAAACAGATATCTAATGTAGGTGGTTTTGTGTGTGTTCACGTGTGTGTGTGTGTGTGTGTGTGTGTGTGTGTGTGTGTGTGTGCATGTGTATAGTGCTGGGGATTGAACCAGGGCCTTGGGCATGCAGAGCATGCTTGCTACCTCTAAGCTACATCTCCAGCCCCTAGATATGGAGTCTTGAAATATGTTTTAAAATATGGGTCCTTGGACATTTTTTGAGAGACATAAAGGCAAACCAGTTAATACCAACATTTAAAAATTTAAAAAAATTTTAAAATCAGTTTAAAATAAATAATCCTACTGAAATTATCCAAGGTCACTGGTAGCCAAGGTCCCACTGAAAGTGTTGCTAAGTTTCTCCCCACTTTCCTGGTTCCCTGAAGGGTATTTGTCACTTGGGAGATCTATGCAATGAAGCCAAGGTATCCTGCCTTCAAATCGTGCAGCTGCTGGCTAGAGATGGAGGAGGAGATGCTTCTTGGATGTGTACCAGTTTCACCCCAGGACAGCCCTGGGCCAGGAGAGCATGAGCTACCTCTACACAGCAAATACTCACTGTCATGGCCCTGAGCAGATCCAGGCCTTCACAGGTGCTGCTCCGACAGTCACCTGACTTGTGAATCAGACCATCTGAGTTGATAAAGGTAGCATTCACAGTGACAGACATGGCTGTTTTCAGGAAATAAGGAGAAGTAGAAAACTAGTGTTATTTTTTGTAGTTTACACCAGCTGAGAGGTTTATCTCTTGCCAGATGATCCTAGGAAAAAGATGCATATCTGTTTTCAGGCCTAAAATATTAGAAATCTGAGTCCTTCTTCTGTTCCCCATCACTTCTCTCCTTTGTCTCTACATCTTTCTGGGATGTTTTTTTCCTACCTCTCATCAATGTATCAATGTTTTTGAGATCTACTTAACCTACCATAAAAATCACCCATTTTAAGGACATGATTCACTAATTTTTAGATATAGAATCGTGTGACTGTCACCACAGTCCACTTTAAGAATATTTCACTATGTTTGCTGCTCTCTGTGTCTTCTTTTCATAATCTCAGACTTGGTGAGTTCATAAGGTCATAGTCTTTCTTAGTCATTTTTTCTGTGGTGTGTGGTACTGAGGATTGAACCCAAGACCTTCATACTGAGACTTTTTCATTGGGGAATCCCACAGAACCATCTTTTTTTTTTTTTTTTTAATTCTTGTACCAGGAATCGAACTCATGACCTCACGCTTGCCAGGCAGGCGCTGTGCCGCTGAGCTAAATCCCCAGCCCCCACAGAACCCTCTTATTTCTGATCATAAAAATCCCTAAGGGGAAGCAGCACCTGTGTGATGTGAGAAAGTCAACAATGCAGATATATGGTTTCCTGTTGGAACAAGGACAAAAACCCTGGGTGGTATCATTCCTGGTGTGTTTCAGGAGCAGCAAGGAGATCCATATAGTTATAGCAGAGTTAGTGAGCAGTGGTGTGGACAGGAGGTAAGTTTAGAGACGAAGGTCATATCAGGAATGGCCTTGTAGCCATCATAAGAAATTACAATTTATTGTGGGATAAGGTGGGATATCTTTGGAAGATTTTTAAGCTGAAGAATGATATTGTTTGATCGCCATTTAAAAATAGTTTCTCTGGATTAGTGGAGGGGAAGAATAGAAACAGAGAGACTGCTTCATGGGCTATTAATAGACTAGGTTAGCTCAGCTTAGAATAGAGGTAATAAAAGTTAAGAAAAATGATTGCATTTTGGGTATGTCTTGAAGGTGGTACCCACAAGAAATTGCTGATGGATGGGATTTTTAAAAGTATGAAAAAAAGAGGCTTCAGGATAATGTCAATATTTTTGGCATGATCCGGTGGGTGAAGGGAATGTTACCGACCAAGCTAGTAAAGAATGTGGGAAGGTTGCGTTCCTCACTGTGGTGTGGCAATGAAGGAATCAGAAGTTTGGTTGGACATGTGAGGTGTGAGATGCTGTTAGACTTCCAAACACAAACAAGAAATCAATAGCTGAATATACCAGTTGGGAATAATTGTCAGTGTTGTAACTTTTGGTGGAAAGCTGTCTCATCTGTGTCTCAGATTTAAAATTTTAGCACAAGAAGGATGTCTTAAATTTCTAAAAAATGGAGCCAAGGCAGAAGCTTCTTCCCGGAAGCTGTCATCCCAGAGTCTCATATTGAGGGAATGATGGGATCTGAAATTGAAACCATAATTATTTTGTTTAAAAGTGTTATTATGATTTATATCTAAAATGGCCTCCAAAGTCTCATGTGTGTGTAAGGTGACTGAATCACGGGGACCCTACCTCACCAGTGGATGTCTCTGTGGATGAATTCAGCAGCTCATTGTGCAGTTTGGAGGTGCGTCTGGTTGGAAGCAGGGCACTGAGGTGTAACCAGAAAGGGTGTTTTTGCCCCGGACTCCTCTTTCTCTCTCTGCTTCCAAGGGTCCCTGGGCTAAGCACCTGTTCCTCTGCCGTTCCCCTCTACTATCCTGTCCCTGCTTTGGAGCCAGCCAGCTGTGAAGCTGGAACCATGAGCCAAAACAAACCTCTTCTCTTTTTTGTCATGGATGTCAGGTATTATGTCCCAGCAATAGGAAAGTGGCTAAGACACAGACCTTCTGTGCACTTTTGATATTTTGGTTCCAAACTCATGCATGAGGTAACCATCTTTTACGAGCTTAATGGTCCATCAAAATGTTAACAAAATTTACCACTGGGTAAGACTACTTGATCTCAGCTAATTCCACTGTATCACAATTACTTTCTCATAAGCATTCAGGACACAGAGAAATAGCGTATGGGATGAGCACATGGATACTATCAGGAAGTCCCTAAGTGGATCTGGATGACCATGGGCATATTTCTCAGGTGAAATAAATGTGGCTTACAGTCTGTTATCTATTTTTCATAAAGGAGGTGTTGCTTGGTTTTGTTTTGTTCTCTATAGACAAGTGTTCTGGCTTGTATCTAGATGTCCCCCTATGTGATCATAGGTGGGGCTTTTTGGATACGGCTGAACCTAGAGGATGCGATGGTGGGATTGATTCATGGGGTGATACTAGGATTAAGGTTGCTTCACCCTAAGGGTGGGGAGTCTGGGTAAGATAGAAGGGCCAGGAAGAGGGTCGCTGCTTGTTGCTGGCTGCTTGCTGCCTTCTGCTTGCTGCCTTCTGCTTGCCTGCCCTGTGATGCCCCTCTGCCATGACATCCTGTTTTGGAGCCAGCCAACTATGAACTGAAACCTCTACAAACTGTGAGCTAAATAAACCCTTCCTCCTTTAACTCTGGGTGATGTGCATTCTATCTTAGAAATGAAAAAAGTAGCCTCAGGAAAGGAATTACGTAGCATTGCAAAATCTACACAAAAATCTCTTCCTAGAAAAAAACCAAGAACACCTTTGCTTTAAATGCTTCTCATTAGGGTAAAGGAAAACAAAAACATGGTCATTAGTTCTCTGAAAGAGATGGAAGTTTTGACTGGATTTCACTCTGTTTCATAAATCTCTCCTTTTAGCAAGGGATGCAAGGACTCAAAATATGTTTTCCTTTAAAATATTTGCTTGGTCATTGAAGTGGCTAGTCTTACCTTCCAGAATACCACTCCTCATGATAGGTATTTTCTCTCTGGTCTATCTCAAGGCAAAAGTGAACTGTTCCTTCTGGTCTGAGATCTTTGTACAATGAAGAACTCTGACTTTTAGATGAGGGCAAAAGCATTGATTATAATGCCCCTAGGTATTCCTAGGCACCATATTTTGAAAAATAATAACTAGGTAACAGAACTATTTGACTGTTCTGTTTCTGCCTACACACTGTTTCTTATGTAATGGTCTTCTTCCAGTTTAAAAGAAAAAAAAAAAATATATATATATATGTCTGAGACATCCTTAATTTCTTGCACAAGTTGTTTTAATTTCTTTGATTTGGCTTCCTCACATGCAAAGTTGGGTCAAAACTAGGTTTGTTCAATCCACAAATTTTTACTAATGCCTTTAACAATAAAACATTTCAGCAACAAAGTTGTTCTTCTAAATATCCAACTCAGAATGTTTTTAAAGGTAGAGACCAGTTCCGTCGGAGAACAGAAGCATCTCCTGTACTTCTAAAGCCACTTCAGAGATGTGTCTGCCAACTCGGGCATAATCCCCCCCGCCCAATATTTAAAAATAATTCAAAACATTTACTTCGTGGTGCTTTGCTCAATAAAAGGAGCCAAATGAGAGATGTCAGTTCTAAGCTGAAGAGGAGAGAGGTCGGTGTAATTAGGTTAGTCAGAGACAATCGGTGGATGAAGTGAGGAGGGGGATGGGTTTAATAGCAACGAGAGTGTAGACGTGAGGCAGCCACAGTTCTGAGCGCGTTATAACCTTTGTTCTATTTAATTCTCACAACAATAGGGAGAATATAGGGAATATAAAGTCAATAGAGCAATGTAATGAAGCTGGGGTGAATGGGAGAGGGGTGGGGGTGTTGGAAGACTGCATGGGGGGAAGGGTAGAAAACAGGGCAAAAATGTCTTGGGAAGCAGCAAGAGTCACAGAACCAATAGGGAGGCCAGTGCACAGGCGCAAAATGGAACCAGGTCTTCCGGAAGATGGCAGTGCTCATCGCTATTAATGTTAAATCAGCTCTTCCCCGTGGGTCTCATGTATTGGCCAGAGGTCTGCTCCCTCCTACCTTCATGAGGTACCCTGACTATGGTCCATTTAAAACTCGTAGGCTTCACGAAGACTGGTACAGAAAAGCCCCAAGTGTAAAAACTGCGCAGGGTCTGGGATAAAGGGAACCATGGTGTTTTGCAGCCCCAGAACTTCACCTGTTTACTGATAGGAAGAGCTGGAGATCTCTCATCACTACATGTCTGGCATTGGACTATGGTTTCTCTCTCCTCCTTTCATTCTTTCCTTCCTTTTGAAATGAAGATTGAACCTAGAGCTTCATATACTCCAGCGCTGAGGTATATCCCCAGTGCTTTTTATTTTGGGACAGGGTCTTGCTATATTGCTTAGACTGTCCTCAAACTTGGATTCTCTTGCCTCAAACTCCGGACAGTCAGGATTATAGGTGTCTGTCAGTACTTGAATTATTTATGTTATTGTACACTTGATCTTAGCCAAAAGGCTGAGAAGCAATTATTTGTATTATTGTAAAAGACTGAATATAGAAACCAATATGAGAGTATATCTGTCCTCCATTAAGCTGGACATGAAAGCCATCTGTAAAGTGTAAACCAATATCACCTTTCTCACTCACTTTATTTTGGCTTTAGAAATACAGATTTCCTTTAGTTAAAAATGTTAGAGGTGATACAGGCCCATAATCACAGCACTCTGGGAGGCTGAGGCAGATTTGCAAGTTTGAGCCAAATCTGGGCAACTTAGTGAGACCCTGTCTTAACATTTTTAAATTTTAATAGAAAAAGTGGAAGGGTAACTACTGAGGTGTAGCTTAGTAGCTCCATGTGAAGGCTCTGGGTTCAATAGCCAGCATCATCATGTATATTATAGACAGGTGAAGTATTTATTTGCTATTTTTAGTGAGTTTATCTTATAAACATTTAAAATACTTCTCAGCTCTAATTTCCATTCCAGTAAATATCAATACATGTAATAACATGACAGAATTCTTCAAGGCCCTCAATGGTTTTTATGAATGTAAAGAGGTATTGAGACCAAAACACTTCAGATCTACTCCTGTAGAACATATTGTAATAAGCTACCCCTGTATATTTTATTATTATGTGTACTTTTTAAAAAATATTAATTGAGGAGGATATTTTCCCTTTGTCTCCTCAGATCCTAAGTGATTTCTCAAAAAAATTTTTTTTCAGACCCCATTTTGACTTCAAATATATTTCAGCTTTTACATAAGCAGTTCCGAGTTCTGCTTTCCATCTGTATCCTACCTGCACTCTCTGCCCGGGAGGATGCGGGGAAAGCTGAAGAATATTGGTGATCCCAGAACCCTCTCTTCCTCGTGTCGTAGGCCTAAGGGTGGGCTTGGGCCAACACCACACTGGCATGTAGGAGCAGGGCATATGAGAAGGACCCAAAGAACACACGACAGAACACACAGGATATGTCCCCTGCATTTCGATGTATGGCATGCATCTTCAAGGAGGTAATATCCTAGGCTAAAGGAATCTCTTTTTCTTTTACATTGTAGTCCACCAAATTCCATCTGTTCTTCATGACCCACAGGACTTTCCCAAGTACAACAAAAAGCAATGATCACTTCCTTTGAGCTATCACCCATGGCCTTTGACTTTTTAATTTTCTTCAGTTTAGCCCTCAGATATGTTATATTTTTTCCAAGTAACAATCTTCAACATATTTAGAACATGAACTCTCTTTTTCTCCAAAACTTTTTCTTCTCATGTTTACTATGTATGAACATCTACTGAACAAAATACATTATCAAATGCAAAAGATGGACATCACTGTTTGTTGTTCTATCTCTATGGAACTCTCCACTTATTCAATCCATTCACCAACTTCACTAGCTTCACCATGAACAACCCTGTTAATTAATTAGTGAAATTTAAAAATGATAACTCAGCCAATGTCACCCAACTAGTAAATAATGGAGCAGGAATTCAAATTCAGATTTTATGAATTCAGAGACCAAACTTTGAATCAAATCTCTGCAGTAAATACTTATTTTATATGACAGACCATGTGTTCTTCCAGAAGTAGCAGACAGCAGCAGCAGCAACAACAATACAATCAACTACTGTTTATTGAGTATTTGCTATGTTTCAGTCCGTGTCTGAGAGCATTTGAATTTTCTCATTGAGTTCACACTCTCTTCTAAGTAACAACCATTGATCCTGATTTTATAGGTGAACAAGCTGAGGTTTAGGAAACTTGCTTGAAGTTATATGTGGTAAATAGGAATATAATCCAAGATCTGTCAGATTCCAATCTCTGCTTCTAATGATAATATCTCCACTCCTGGGCTGGGGATTTAGCTCAGCGGCAAAAGCGCCTGCCTGGCAAGCGCAAGGTCGTGAGTTCGGTTCCCAGTACCGGAGAAAAACCAAAAAAAAAACAAAACAAAACTCCACTCCTTTGTAAGAAAAAATTAGTCCATTCCAGGTAAATATCTCACAGGGGCAATGTGATACAGTCTTTATAATCAGACAAATGGATCTGAATCCCATTTCAAGCAGACTGTCTATATGACTTTAGCAATGTTATTAACTTCTGCTGTGAAACCAGTGTCAAACCATGCCAACCCCTCAGAGCTGTAGTGAATAAAGAGATAATGTAATTAACGTACCTAGAACTTGCCTACCACATAACAGGCTCTCAAACAAGCAAAGCAGGTCTTGCGGGGACTGAACAACCAAACTCACACTGGGCCACAGAGAGAGAAAACTGGGGCAGACACCACAGACTAGTTCCTCAGACTTCAAGTCCGGTGTTCTTTCCTCTGTACCACTTTGCCTCAGTAAATACCAGGATTTTATTAAATGGACCTCCTAGTTCCATTAGAGCACTACATCAGATCCATGCATTTACATCTGAATTTAGTTCAGACAGAATAGGAGAAATATGTCATATGCAGAGAAGCAAGTTATTATATATATCTGAGCTTTTGCTCTTATTTCCACCAGATATTAAATGGAGAAAATTTAGACATACCATCCTTAAAACCGCAAATAACCACTATGATATATTAAATACTTATCGACTCAGTAATTCTACTTCTGGCAATGTAGTCTCAGGGAATGAAGGAAAACTACATACCAAAAAATATGTATTATAGTATTTTAAAGGCAATAGCAAGAAATTAAAAAGGATGAAACATTCTACTGTAGGGAATTTTTAGGGAACTTGGGTGACATCTCTTCTAAGGGATGTTGTGTACCCATTCACAAGATAAATATGAAGAGCACATAGATATATTAAAGTCACTTGTGGAATAAATAATGTGAAGGGAATCTGAAGAATGCAGAATTGTTTCTGTGCTGTGTCATCACAAACATATTCTCAAAAACAAGCAAGAAACTAAGAAGAAGCATGGGAGAAGAGACTGGAAACATCTTAGCAGCGAGAAGTTATCATGGACAATTTTTTTCTCTTTTACTTATGTTATGTAAAAGTACACAATTGATTTGTATAATCAAAGGACATAGTAGATAACTGCGACAATGAATTTGATTGCAAATTTATGGTATGGATCTTTGTGCAGACATAAGAGATGTAAAGAGCCAACAAATTTGCAGAAAAATAAATGAAAAGCCCAGAGAAGAAGTAGGTGCCCGTATAAATTTTACTTCCTTGCTTTGTCTTCTTTATTGGTAAGTGTGTGAAACCTCAGGTCCAGCCCAAATTTTGTCCCTGAGCTGCTGTGGAAGGAAACACAGAACCTCCTTGGAACAGGGCAGTAAACCCTGTGTCAGCTGGGGTGTCTCACTGGTGTGAATGTCTCGCACTTCATGGCTTGAAGCCATCCCCAGAGCAAGGCAGTGTGGATTGTGAGTGTGTACACCAAGTGAGGTAAATCCTTCCTCCCTAGGATCTACGGCCTTGAAATACAAAGGAGTTTCAAGGAGGCCCCTTGGGGATGGTTGGATGACCAGGTAAAGTACACAAGGTCTTCTCTTAGCAACCTTTGACCCCAGAGGTGGTAACAGAAGAGGATTGTGTTACCGTATTCTTACCAGCTTCCTGCAGACGCTTCCTCACAATGTCCAATCCCTTATTCACTGCTGCTTTCAAGGTGTCCGGGGAATCTTGGAAGGCAGAGTTGCTCATTATGAGGACACTGATATCGTAGCTACCATTGTGGCAGTTCTGACTCATTTGGGAGGCCCAGTACGCCAGCCCTGGCTGAAAGAGCTGGAGGAGCAGAGGCCACAGAGCCAGGCCCAGCAGTGGCGACATCATGACCTCGTTCGCCGCAGAACCATACTCTCTGTGCTCTTGCTTTCTCTGGCTTCCAGCGACCCAGGAACTCTAGCAGATCAGCCTCTAGTCGAGTCTTTGGTTCTACTCTTCCCCACGCTCCTTTCTGGTCATGCCCCACTCGTCACGTGAGCCTGGAACCCAACCTGCTTGCTTGCAAGCAATTAGCAGCTGCATTATGGTAGGAGATAAATCAAAGTTCACTTTGGGTGTTTGCACACAGAAAGGTCAGAGCTATAAATGTGGAGATCACCTGTACCTCAACCAATAAAAATACATCAGTTTGAGATACATCACTGAGAAGAGGGAAAAGAGGAAGAGGACAGTCTGTTTTATATAAAAGCTTTGTGTGAATGGAAAAAAAGGTCAAAGGGCTTATGCTTTCCACAGATATGATGGGTTATTAGTACTTGGGTTTGTAGCTGCACATCAACATGGAATTCTCAGCTGGCAAGGGCTTTGTCTCAGGCATCTGGTCAGCAACTCTTCATTGAGACTTGACAGTGTGTGGGGCCCTGGAGACACAGCTCTGTGGATACATGAAGGTCCTCGGGGAATGTGTGTTCTAGAAGGGAGACAAACCTTGTCCAAATAAGTATGAATAACTAAATTCAACAATGAAAATGAAGAGTGCTATGGAAACACATTGCAAATTAATATAATTTATTCTAGAAGGTCAAAGAAGCTTCCCTGAGGTAGCATCCTTCAGATGCATGCCTGAAGGACAAACAGGTGTTAGCTGAACTGAGAGAAAGAGCACACACATGTGGAAGGGGAGCACAGAGGTGAGGCACTGAACAAGGTACAGTGTGGTGAGAGTACAGGGAGTTGGGAGTCAAGGGGTAATAGGGGTACCAGAGGGTAAGTGAGGGCAGACCATGGGGTTTTCCATAAGCTCTTAAGAATTTTAGCTAGTTGTGGTGGTGTATGTGTTATCCCAACATTATGGGAGGCTGAGTCAGGAAGATTGAAAGTTCAAGACCAGTCTGTGAAATTTAGAGACTTAACAAACCCTTGAAGCACTGTCTTAAAATAAAACATTTTGGAAAAGGGTTGAGCTTCTAGCTCAGTGAGAAGGCCCCAAGTTCAATGCCCAGTACTGCAAAATTTTTAAGGAACAACTCTAAATGATTTGAGACTCTATCCCAAGCCAAGAAAGGGAGTTGATAGGATGAATTTTGGAGTGACCACTTAGGTCCCACCAGGGAAGGATTGCACTGGAAGGACAGCTGTGGGAAGAGACAGAGGTTGTTTCTGTAGTATAAGTGAGAGATGAAGGAGGCTTATGGCCTTGGAGATGGGTTCCAGAGACATCTACAAAAGAAAATGGGGGACTTGATACTTGATTGTATTTGATGCATCAGGGAAAGTGAGGAATCAAGTGTGACCCCTGATGCACTCAGCGGGGTAGACGATAAAGTACTCGCTGAGCTCTAGAATTCTAGAGCTTAAAAAAGATCAGGACTTTTGTATCTGGACATTTCCTATTAAGGTAGCAGTGTGAGTGTGAGAAGAGCTCCCAAGGAGTTTTGAGAAGAGATCCTGGATTTAAGTGGAAGTTGGAAAATAAAGTCAGAGGGCTGGAAACGCAGTCTTCTAATATCCTTATATACCACAGCTCCAGTTTCCCAGCCTTTGGACTCCAGGACTGACATGAGCAACTCCCATGGCTATTAATCCTTCAGCCTCAGACTGAGAATTACACCAGTAGCTTCCCTGTTTCTCAGGCTTTTAGATGTGGACTGAGCCATGCTGGCAGAGTTCCAAAGCATCAAGCTTTCTACCAGTCTGTTGTGAGTCAATTCCCTTAAGAAGTTTCTCCTCTCAAATATATATATATATGGAGAATTGTAATACTGCCCTTAAAATCATGAAAAATTTTATATTATCTCAGTACATGACAAAATATTACTTGATAAATTTTAAAAGGCTATTTATAAATTACAGCACACACAAAATCTTTTATGCATGGATTCATTTCATGCTCCATCTGTTACTAGAAGTAAATAGACAAATGACTGACCACATTGATGATAACATTTGTTACCTGATTTTGCCTATTTTAAATTGTGAAAGTTAATTCTCAAAAAAAAAGTTAGAGGCATAGTGTGTGACTGATCAAACAATGTCATTGTTTACAACATTGACTTGAAGTCCACTTATTGCAAAATTTATATTTTAACTTAAAGTTGTGAAAATGAGTGCACTAATTAGCACTGTTGCTCTCATAGAAGTAATCTTATTTGCAATTTCAGTCTCAACAAATGAAATATATAAATTATTGATAAGTTCAACCAACTGAAATGGGTTTAAGCCACCAAATTATTTTCCTATAAAGCCATTCATTAGATCACCTGAAGTGACCTTTCAGGGACTTCTGTATGTCAGCAGGAAATTCCACCCCCTAGTGCCGGGCCCAGAAGAGGATGGACTTCCTCAGGACAGACCCTGGATGATAGTGGGAAATCTGACTCCTGGCCAGGCTAGGGATTTCTTAGTAAGACCCTAACTTGGGTCTTGGTTTAACAAATGGGGTCTAGTGGTCAGACCAAGTAAAAGAAGAAATGTGCTTTGCATTGCATCAAATCAAACATCAATGGAGGGAGCCATGGGTGGGGAGTGCCAGTCTTCTGACCGGCAGCTCACTCCCTGCCTCGTAGGCCCCCAGAGGGAGGGCCCCTGGCACACGGGGAGCCATGAGGCAGCGAGTGCTATTGCGTGCCGGCCCTTAGGCCAGCCGCTGCTGCTCAATTGAGAACTATCATGACACAGAGAAACAATGACACAATTGGCCCACCATGCACTGGCTGCAGATGCCCACCCACGGATGTGTGTGAATCATTCAAACATGGAAAAACCCCTGGGAATACATGCCATACAACGGGCCACTCTTGCTCCTGCCATTGAGAACCAGAAAAGTCCAGAGTCAGCAGAGGAGCAGCTGCTGAACAAGGACTAGGAGAACATGAGAATGCAGACTAAGCCCAAGGAGTTAGAGGACCTGTGGACTGGGGTCATGAGAGCCACTTGGAAGCTGTCAACCAGGAGGACCTTGCATAATACCTGCAGAGACTCCCTGGAAGCCATTTTTCCCCTGACAG